CAGGTGTGGGGTTTTATCACAAAAGGCCTCGGTATTAATTAGAGAGGGATATTTCTATTTAAAGCACTATTCTCTTCTCCCTCTGTCCGATGTGGGACTGGGGGTTCCAACACTCCCCCGCACGTGAGACCCCACTTATGGGTCACACGTGAATTTCCACACATCGGCAACCACGTGGAGCCATGTCGGGACTCACCCAATCACGCGGGGCCAATGGGGACCCACCCAAACACGTGGCATCTTTGGCCTACGTGGACAATCACGCGGGGCCAATGGGGACCCACCCAATCACGTGGCAGTACGGGCCCGTCCCCTGGCTCTGATACCATATGGAAATTTTCAGGTCGACGGGCCGAGGGCCCACTCCAACAACACCGATACTGTCCCCACTTAACCACCTGCACAATCCTCAGGTGTGGGATTTTATCACAAAAGGCCTCGGTATTAATTAGAGAGGGGTATTTCTATTTAAAGCACTCTTCTCTTCTCCCTCTGTCCGATGTGGGACTGGGGGTTCCAACAAAACTCGTGTTTTTTTCTGTCTCGAACTCCCACTTCTTGGATTTTATCATTTTGGTTTACATCTGCCATGGGAAGAAAATTATTATTCTGGTTTAGGTGGTTTGTCATGGTAGATCGGCCATGGTAAGAAAGGAACAAGAAAAGATGAAAGCTTGGTTATTTGAGGCTATTTGGTTAGAAATTTTTTTGATTTTGGCCGGAATACAAAAGGTATATTATGTCTTTTTATATAAATGGTAGAAAATTTTATTTTTCAAATTATTAACTTTTTAACACACATATCATATTATAACGTTCGTATAATAATACGTGATGTACCACATTGTATACCAATCACACTTACAAATTTTTCGTTTGGTTACTAAGATTACAGGGGTGTGGCCCGTGTGGGAGATCATTTCAAATGACAGATGTTGTATTCCTGTTGGACCACATAGCTTGGTGAGTAAAATGAGTACTACCCAGACTGTACCCAAGTAATATTGTTAGAATATTTCTTTCTCTTCTGGTCACAAACCAGAATGTAAAACGCTAGTTTGGTTTCAAGTGGTGACGTGTAAACGAAGGACAGAGAGCTCCATGCAAATGTATAAATGTTTTCGATTTGGTTTGATTTTTGAAGTGTTGAACAAGCAAAAGGCAGCAGATATTGCAGTCTGCAGCAGATGGCAGTAAGGCAGTTGCGCATGCTGTCTACCTCCAACGCCAACACTAGTCTGTCCACAGTTTTCTATCGTATTCGTAACTTACATAAAACGTGTTGATTATTACGGAGTATTTAAATTTAATAATGTATATTTTCTTTTAAATATTTTAGTTTATATTGAGAAAATGCAATGAATTTGAGCTCGAGAAGCCTATTTACCTGAATAATATGCATTGCTAATAATGTGCGATGAAATTCACATAATAATACATTATTAGAAAGGTTTTAAAAAAACGTTAGGCGTTAGTTGAACGATGAGTTGGAATCTAGTGCCTAGGCGGTTAGGCAGGGCTTAGGTGGACGTGTAGGCGGACTAGGCGGATTTGAGTAAATCTATTATATTTCGTGTAAAAAATATCTATTTATACTTAAAATATATATATTTTCATCATAAACTACAAAATAGAATGACATATATATTATGAAGTATTAGAACATAGTGAAAATATAGGGAACAAGAATATAATGTGTGTTCATTTAAGCATGCAACAAGTCTCTTACAATTTATTGAAAAAAATAAAATGCGAAATAAAAGTTATTTATTTTCTGTTTAAGTAAGTTTCAACCTAGGCTGGTGCCTAAGTGGGTCTTGATGGGATAGGCGGGTGCCTATGAGGTCTAAACGGGCTCCTCAGCAAGTCTAGACACTCTTTCTTAATTTTTAAACATCTAGACATTAATCAGAACGATGACTAGCCTCCTAACACCTAGACGAAACGTAAACGGTTCTAGACGGAAATTTTTAAAACAGTGATTATTAGTCTACACTTTGTCACGTGACGGTAAATCCGTCTATTTTCAACAGAGGAGGTGAGAAAGTAAATGAGTCATTGGAGTGATCATTCAGTAAAACGATTTTCTGTGATTTTTCTGTCCCTCCTTTCTCCTTGAGTAGGGGGGAGTATGTGCAATAGTTTTTCTGGTACCGTCCTGCTTTGTCAGGTCCCAGTAAACCAACGGCCTTCTCTTCTTCTCCAGCTGTCTCTCTCTCTCTCTCCCTCTCTCCCTCTCCATGCCTAATGTATTATTACTATTCCCTCAACAACCTGGGCATTTTTGGTCCGTTTGGGAATTTGGGGACTGTTAATTTCCTTAATTCCAATAAAATAAAAATAAATAGCTACCGAGGGCAGGTGCCTCTATTTTTTTTTTTTTTTTTGGGTCGAGACTTGCTCTTGTCTTACGTCAATTAGATCAATTCCAACTCTTGAAATAAGTTTTAAATTTTTCCTTCTATTCTCTCATCATTTCTCTCTAATCCTTGTTCTAAAATTAGGTTAATTGTTAAAACCTAAACAAAACTCAAATGTAGAGCCCACATGTGAGAGTGGAAAACCTGATGCGAAGCCCAAACGCCCAAAAACCACTATCGGAAGCACCAAACGCGCCAACTGAACCCCACCCACGTGGGCATGTCCCCTTTTTGTCGGCCACAACAATGAGCTCAACGACTCTTTTTTCTGAACGGCCCAGATTTATATTTGTTTTATATTTAGAAATTTTATTGAATCTAATATGATCAAATTTAAATCTATAATTAAAAAAAAATTATTTAACTCAAAATTCACCCAAATTTAGTGATTTTTCAATATTTATCTGAATCTAAACATTTTAAAGTTAAAATGTTCATAAAATTAAATTATGATAGAGTACATAATTTATTTTTTTTAAATTACTTTAAAAAAATTAGGCTAAGTTTATTCTTTAATAACTTCGGGCTAAAAAAATTAGGCAAGAAGAGTTGGAGCAGAAAAGCTGTTTCTGAATTAAAACCTAAATTTTTTTTTTTAGACTCAAAATTTTAAGTTTTACTCCAAAATTGAAGATGATCTTATAATGTAACGCCAATTTCAATTTACCTCATGAAAAAGAATTGAACCGTTTTAATTTAGGGTTTTGAAGGAATTAAAAACAATTACTTATAGGTCGAGATAATTTGTTGTGCCCTTTATCATGTTGTTTATCTCTTGATTGGCCACGTGGTCAGAAACTTGTATGCATAATTTTATAAAATTGTCGAATCTAAAAAATCTTTCTCATTATTCGCGTCATGGTTCATGCCTATGTTGGTGTTCGCGGTCACTTTTAAACAAGTTATTTCAAAACATATCAAATTGTGATTCATGAAAGACTGATTCGATGAAAGAAGACATAGTGCCATGCTAAGGTTAAGAAATTCAACTCCTAGAGGTTGAGTTGAGACCTAAGGAGTCATTTTTCAGTGTTTCGGGGTCAAGTACATCAAGTGTAATGCTACAATTGGTTAGAAAATTAAAAATAAAAATTTCAGCCAAACAAGCACGTTAATCGATACTTAATTAATAATTCAATTATCTACAACCACATCATTCAGTTTGCAAATTTGGTTTATAGAATTTAGTTTACCTAGTATTACCTATTATAATATTACACTTAGAGCATATCCAAAGGATATGTCAAAAAATCCATATCAGCACTAACAGTAATAAAAAACATCATTAGTGTTTTTCAACCGAAATGTCAATTCCTATATGACATGACATGAAAAGGCAGCAGAGAAAGTTACTGTCAAATTTGGCAACAGCTTCAAATCTATTTTTAGTAATTAATAAATACTTTTTATAATTTTAATAGTTATCTTTTGTTTTAAAATACTAATCACAACTATAAAAAGTAAATAATGTAATAAATAATAGTTTAAATTTGACATATCGGTTAGAGAATAAAATTTATCAAAATATCAATATGCCACGTAAGCATTTAAATTTAAATTTTGTGTTAAAAATTTAACATCTCTTTTGGATATGATCTTAACCTTTAATTCAACATTTAATATACTTGATCGTGTTCTCGATAGACATTGCCGCCAGGCAATAAAACCACCTTCTTTATGGCAAGGATGTATTTCATTGGACTGGTGCATATAAATGGCGTTGGCACATAGTTTTACATCCCCCCACCATATCTCATAAATACCGCATTAATTTCCACTTGCATTACAAAACAAGCCACTTAATTACACTTCAAACCCTACCCGACTTCCCCCTCCTCTTCATTCTTCCACTATCAAAAACCAAAATTTGAATAAATTAACTCAACTTGCATATGAGTCACAGACTTTTTTTATTTTTTTATTTTTATGTATTAGCTACCAACCATTGATGGATGGGAACCCTACTGACCTAGGGGCTTAGGAGCGTACTTTGTGTGATTTCACCCAAGGTGAACAGACCAGGACCACCGTAACCTCACCTGGTTAGGCTTCATGTAGGCAACCAATCATTTTAATGCTTTGCTAAGTTACAAGCCTACGCAATTACGTTCGGCATATGAGTTACAGGACTAGGTTCGCACCTTTTGTGTTCTGACTTTTTTAGATGACAAGTTTGATATTAAATTATTGTTGACTCATTGCCTGAATTAATTGAAACTTTCGTTGATTAAGATATAGCGTGCCCATCCTCACAATTCGAGTTTGAATTTCCTATTGTATCCGGAAGACCGGATCATGTGGTTGTCAAGCACTAGGTACAAAAACAATCCACCCAACTTCACCCGCTGTATTTTGACCTCATCACCAGAGGCTAGAAAGCAGATGGTGATTTACCGCAGTGGCACAAAGTAATAATGTCTATCCACTCTAGTGCATGTTTGATTTCTATGGATTGCTCTAACATTTAACAATTTAACCCAATAACTCTATTGTTTGTTAGAAAAAAAAAAAAAAAAAAAACGAAAGAAGAGGCCCATTGGTCAGAGTGGAAAAAGAAAGCAGGCCCATGTTTATCTGGCCCAACCCTTATCTCTTGCTTGTTGCTACCAAAACCAACGGCCACTCACAGAGACAACGGCCTTATTCCGCACCAGCAACAAAGATTGAAAGCGCCGATCTTCCAGTGCCAAACTCAGGGAGTCAGGTAAACAAAGATTTCTTTAAATTTTGTTTGGTTTACGAGAAAATTTTAATGTTTTCCCCTTTAACTCTAAATACGCAATTTTTTGAGGTAAAAAAGGAAGAAAATTTTCTAGCAATCGTCGGGGATCTTGCCCAATAGCAATCGTCAGGGACCTGTTAGATAAGCTTTTCTTAATTTCCTAATCTTAATGTTATTAAAACTGTCGATGATTCATAAATTGGGTGCTTCAGTTCTTTGTTTGATGATTATAAAGTTTATAGTTAATTACGTATCATTGGATGCAATAATCAGTAATTTGCCCAGAAACTATTTGTGAAAATGCTTAAAAGGCAGTGCTTGTATTTTATTTTATTTTATTTTATTGTGTAAAGGTTAAATTGTTGCGGAAATTTGCATGTAATGATTAGGATTGCAAGAAAACGGGTGAGTTACCATGTTAGGAAGTGCCCGTGTTCGGCTGAACCGGTGGCAGCAGGCGGCTGTGGCAGTCGGTTCGGCTGTGGGCGCATTGGTGGACCCAAGAAGAGCTGATCTCATAGCAGCTCTTGGAGAGACAACTGGGAAACCTGCATTTGAAAGAGTTCTTGAAAGAATGACGAGGAGCCCTGAAGGCAGGGTAAGCCTCTTCTGTCCTCACCCTTCTTGTTTAGCGATTACAATTCTTAATCAAATAACATGTTATGCGTGTAAGTAGTTGTTCACCAGAAAAACTTTCTCGTAATTATGCACGGTGTTTCTGCTTAGCTATCTGCGTTGTGTTTTGTTAATGAAGGTGTTGGGAGTTTCGGGTTATTTGAGTCCATAGGATGTTCTTTGAAAGTCTGCTTGAGGGAAGTCATATGAACTGAACATTTTTTCACTTATCAGCGGCAAGGGAATCGTGAAAATTGCAACCTGGGTTATATCCATTCTGGTCAATTGAAGTCATATATCAGTCTTCCGTGTAAAACTGGCAAAATATTGTTCTTATTGTTGCCGAGTATTGAGTGCTCCTGCTCTTAGTTTAGATAGGTGACAGCTAATGCAAACTGAAGTCATATGTTCTTCTTCCACTACAGTAATTAAATGGTGTTCTTTGTAGTGTTACTTATAATGTGCTTCTAATTGAACTTATTCTTCTCATGTAAACCGTTTTGCGTTGTTTTTCCCGCCCATATAACGAACTAAGAATGGCTGTGGCTCGAGATATCTAAATTTTATGGAATCAGTACTTGAAAGCCATTTGGTTGCTGGTATGCAATGAAATCCCATTTTGTCAACGGTTTTGCTTTGTTATTCTAAGACCAATGCATTTCTTTCTTTACCAGGCCATACTGTTGGAGAAACCCCGTGTTATATCTGTAAACGTGGGTCATGCATGGGATCTACCAGCAAACACATTTGGTGCTGCCTATGCGAAGTTCATGGGATCTAGGAACTTCTCCCCAGATGATCGACCACCAGTGCGGTTCATGGAGACAGATGAGCTTGCATATGTGGCCATGAGGGCTCGCGAGGTGCACGACTTCTGGCACACCCTTTTTGGCCTTCCAACGAACTTGATGGGGGAGTCGGCCCTCAAGGTAATAGAGTTTGAGCAAATGTACCTCCCCATGTGCCTGATGTCCGTCATAGGGGGCTCAGCGAGATTCAACGAGAAGCAAAGGAAATTGTTCTTTCAACACTACTTCCCTTGGGCCATCCAAGCTGGAATGCAGTGCACAGATCTCATGTGCGTGTATTACGAGCGGCACTTTCACGAGGATTTGGAGGACGTTCGGAGAAAGTGGGGTATAATTCCTGCCCCTGCTCCTCCTAAACAAGCCTGATCATCAGCAGCTTCAGCTTGTTTGGCGGAGAAACTGTAAATTTCTCGAGCACAATGTACCCATTAACTTGTGCTTTCCTTGTCAACCCAAATAAGTTATTGTTTGAACACATTAATAGTTACAGGTCGATTTCAATTTACCTTCACAAATTGAATCTTCGTGTGCACAATATGTTAAGGTATCAACAACTCCTTTTTTCTCTTAATTTAAGCATTCTTTTCGGAAAAATGCAACCGAGAAGCGTAAATGCAAACTCCGTAGGCGTGACCCCGTCCATCCCCGGCCAGGCACGGCGTTTCCAATCATAATCCAACTTAGAAGACAACAGGAATGACCATGTAAAGATGGAGAAGAGAAATTAATCACCGAGAAAATTTCGGTTTGTCCATGAAAACGAAATCTGTATCAGATGGTTTATCCATCTACAATAGATCATTCTTGACTGAATGATCCCAACAACCACAAGACCTATATTACATCACAGAATCCATAGAGACTTCCATTGTTTATATAACGGATGAAGGCATTGCCTCGTCCAGAATAGAGGTTTCACAAAACTCAACAATACGAAAGGCATGTCCGTCTCAGTTACCACCCGGTCCACCAAAGAGGTAACCCAGCGAAGATCCACCGCCTGGGGCAGCATGGACCTTGGTCGAGGGTCGATCCTGCGCGCAGGGAGAATCAATATGAACATCAAAATAACACAAATTGTGCATAAAATAGAACGAAAACACTGTACCAAACAATGAAGAAGGATAAGCCAAATTCCAGCAGGCTATATAAATTGTTTCAGTGAACAAATTATAAACACCAAGATATTTGGATAATAATTAAAAAGACAATGAAATATTGGAAGATTCATTGGGGTGTAACCATGTAATTAAACTAGGTTTTGTCTAAACCCCAACAATGAGGAGGATCATACCGTTATGAAGTTTCCGGTGTTCTGGCCATCTGCACGCATGTAGTTGTTTGTAGAGGTGCTATGGATACCAGCAGGAATCGCCTTGGTGATATCAACTGGTTCAGGAGCAGGAGCAGGAGCAACAGGCTTGGAAGCAGGCTCATCTGGAACTGGCGCAGCTTGAGCATTGTTGGCAGCTGGTTTTGGAGCCTCTCCACTCCCAAAAAGATAGTTCAAAGAACTTTGTCCCCCACCGCTGCTAACTCCACGACCCATGTTCTGCAACTTCTTCAAGATAACCCTACACCCGTACATTACAAACAGATGCTTAGAGTGGAATTCCGGAATAAAGAACAAAATTGCAAGAAACTATACCGATGACTCCTAATTGACGCCTCAAACAGTAAAGGATATACCTACAGGAACAATTATCACAATAACTTTGTCACTACTTGCCTCAGTGTCACGAAATACTTTGAAATCAAAACACCCTAACATGATCTAAACCATTGATCCATTTTATAAATCGAACCATTCACAAGAAACCCAAACGAGAAGGAAAAAACAAAAATCTTAGAGTCTGCACCATGAACTTCAAGGTTGGGTTCTGCCTTCGTCACAAAAAAGGCTCAGCTTTTCGATGTTTATCTGATAGACCAACTAATTCAATTTCTCCTTATTTTCTAATGATTTCTTCACAATTTCTAAAACCCAATTGATCAGTTCAGCCAAATTACACAAACAGAAGTTCAATTTAGCAAAATGCAGGCTCACCCGAAGAAACATTTTCAGTTTAAAAAATCGAAAACAGACAGATCCACGATCAACAGTTCATCCTAGAAATCTCAAAAACCAAAAGCAAAAGAAACGTCTCAGTCTAGCACTACCACAAATCAAAACATACATATATAGATCTACCAAATGAAATGCACCCCAAAATTCTAATGATTCCATCAAATAATTTCACCTAAAAACCCACCGATTAAATATCAAAATTATCCACTAGGAAAAGCATCAAATCAAGCACAGTAAAATTGGGTTCTAAAATAGCGAGAAATTGAAAGCGAAATGCAGCGATTGAATCATGGAAGTCAAAATCCGAGAAGGGAGGCAGAGATCTAGGGTTAGAGAGAGGGGCGCGTAGGGTACCTGGTTGTTGGGATCAGATCTGGGAGGGAGAGCTGTGGAAGCAGAGAGTGTTGAGCTACTCGAGACACAGAAAAACTATACGCCCCTTCAAGGCGTTATATAAACATATCAGCGCAGGTACGCTGTCACTGTTTTCCAATTTTTATTTTATTATTTTTGGAATTATCCAGATTTTCTTTATTAAATATTTCAATTTTCACAAATTTAAACCCTACCCCAAAAAAATAAATAGGGTCAATATTTGGTGGAAATTTGCAATATTAATCTTACTGAAATTGAATCGAGCATCTTGGTTCTCTACTTCTTTACTTTTTCAGACATTTTATTTTCTTTTTTGAAACAAACGCTACATGATGCAAAAAATGATAATTAAACAATGGGATTTACTGTTAGACGAAAATTTAAATATGAATCGTTGATCATATATTTAAATGAAAATCTATTTTTTACCGCTTCAGTTGATTGTGACACAGAACTCTAGGTCATCTCCAATCGAAGGAGGGCCAAAGGGCTCTCTTTAGCCCTATAGTCTTGCAAGAAATTATATTTTAAGAAACAGTGTTAAGTCATATTTTATATCATCTCCAACTGAGAGGGCCAAACATAGCACTTTGACAAAAAATCATCTCCAACTGAGAGGGCCCAAGGGCCATTGACCAAACATAATTTATTATTTTAATTAAATTAATATGATTAATTAAATTAAACTACCATATTAAAATAAGGTTTTTGAACATATTTTGAGTGCTACTTATCGCAAAATGAATAAGCCTCCGGATTTCTTATCTTTATATAATCTCAATAATTTTTTGGATATGATTTCGAATGACACGCGTTGCTAACGTGAGTAACTCTCTATATTTCTTATCTTTATGTAATCTCAGTAATTTTTCGAATAGGATTTCGAGTGACACGTGTCTCTAAAATGAGTAACTCTCCAGATTTCTTATCTTTATGTAATCTTAATAACTTTTTGGATATGATTTCAAGTGCCACATATTGAGATGTAATTGGCTGTGCAAATTTTAGATATGATTCTTATCTACGTGATACTTCTTATTTTCAACCTTCAATGTTGTAGGAATGGTGTAAGTATTTATAGGAAAAAAAGTTAAATTCCAACGATAACCTGGCGTTAGCTAGCCCTTGCTAGCTGGCGTCATGCTGACGTTAGATAACTGTTGGCATTCAAATGGGCTGAGCTGGAAGGCTGACAAAATGTCAAGCTTGGCATTCTAGAGCTGGAAAGCTGGCAAAATGTCAAGCTTGACATTCTAGAGCTGGAAAGCTGGCAAAATGTCAAGCTTGACATTCTGGCTGGAAATGGCCAGCTCGTTGGCCTGATTTGGTGGTTTAGGCCCAGTGGGGCCCACAAACCCTTTGGCCTAGTCTTCGGTTGGAGACGATTTTCGTGTCATTTAGAACTATTTTTAGCTTTATGACCATTTGGTCGGGTCGGTTGGAAATGGCCTAACAAGAGATATTTCCACTGTCAAGGATTTTTGCCTTTTATTTAATTTTTTATTTCTCTTAATTGCTTTTTTATCTAATATGGAAAAACTTATACATATTTCGTTTGCATTTTTTATTAGTTTAATATATAGCCAGTAATTATGGACAAAACATTATGCCTTTTTTTTTTTTTTTTTTTTGGGGAAAAAAACGTTATGCCAGTTTGGCATCTGATGTAACCTACTAACCTCCTTGCTTTGTACTTTCCGGTTTGTCCGCCATGCAGCAGAGAGATTTTTTAATGTGTCATGAACAAGTTCGGTACATTAATCAATTATATTATGACACTTGATGGATTAAGTTGTATTCTCGGCACATTAAAAAAATTTATCTGTGCATCAAGTGTAAAACCATAATTACCAAATTACCATTCAAGTGGTAAAGTATAAAAAATACACATGATGCTCCCTTGCCATTTTTCATATATCATATATTTTCGATGTTACGAATATTTTCTCACGGATGACAGTTAGTTGAATAAATTAAACAAAGTTTTATTTTTTATACATTCCCTTCCACTATGTGTACTGAAGCCTATGTGATTTGGCAGATCAGCTCATGCCTACACTGGAGGAAGTTGTGATATCTCTACTAATATCCTATGCAAAGCCTGTGGCCTTGAGAAAAAGGGTGCATGATCGGAGCCCTTAAGCCGGAAAACCTGTTCCGGTGGGTTGGATTCGGTCATGGCTTCTTGTAATGGAACGGTTATGGCATGATCTTCTTGAGTCACTACGAAAAACCGCCTGACAGCGCCGTAGTTCTCGTCGGAAAGAGAAAGCTTCTCTGTTACTGGTGCAAAGGGGATTGGCCTCATTGAGACTGATGCCAGTGCAACATCCTGGTTTGGATGAAGGAGGACGAAAATTAGCTTCGATATCAAACGGAAAAAACTAACTGATTAGCGCTTGAGCTCTGTTGTAGTTTATACAACGTACCTTTGCAGGACTTTGATTGAACAATAAGTCTTCGGACAGTTTTTTGTCAAGAGTAATAGCACTAGGAGGCTGATCCTTCCCATTGGCATACAAGAATCTCTGAGCCTGTCGCATGAGATCGTTCGATCCAGTCTGCGTTAAGATTAACAGGATTAATTAGTTTGGTTTATGAAGATTAACAAAAAATTATCTGTAGAAATATGATACTAATTATGTTATTATTGTGTGGATTGGAGGGCAAACCTGTTGAGCAAAGAGATTAAGAGTGGTCTGCCCACTGGTTAACATTGCTGCACAAATAAATATGGCTTTTGCAATTTTAGATGGAAACAACTCCATTGCATATGAGATACATGTGCCACCAAAATCATGTCCAACCAAAATCACCTGCATTTTAGAGGAAGGAAAATAAATTATTACTATACACAAAGCGTCCGACTACAATACAAACTGAATATGAACACCTAAAATTCAATAATTATGGAATGCAAATTGAGTGGTGCACACCACTTCAACGGTCCACTACATCATTTGATTAGTCGATATGACCATCAAATGTGTTATGTACTTGTGTTCGTACTTAATACGCGTTTGTACCCTAAACCCGAGAGAGAGAGAGAGAGAGAGAGAGAGAGAGAGAGAGGGAGGGAGGGAGGGAGGGAGGGAGGGGAGCAAACCTTCTTCCCAACCCCAAGATTCTCAAGGATGTCAGTGAGTGGCTTGACATATTGTGCAAGACTTGTAATGTTGTTTGTATCAAATGAGTGAACTCCAGAACCGGTCAGGTCAACTGCATCAACTTTGAACCCACTTTCTTCCAAAAGTGTCATGGTTTTGTACCAGCACCAAGCACCAAAGCCACCACCATGAACTAGGATAAAATGATTGGTTTCCAGTTCATCAGTCTTCACGTCCTACAAACACAAAAATTGACTATATATATATAGGTTTACACTTTTGAAAATTGTTGAAGCAGAAAAGGACTGATTAACAAGCCAAATTAACTAGTCCCATAACGTTAAAATCATCATGTGCTAGGCCACATATAAGTTTTTTCGCTTTCATTTGATCATATTAGAATATTGCTCGAATAAAAAAGAACTTATTTTCGACCGTTATTGACAATTATCTTCATTATTTTTTAAACACTGATTAACCCTGATCTATCTCAAATTTTCGACGCAAAGCTTTGAATTAATCAAACCTATATGTTTATGAGCTGAAATATTCGCCTTCCTTCAAAATCTTGATGCAGCCGGCCAAAAATGAAAAATCATTCCATAGAATGGAAGGTGATGTAATGTCCTTTAATTGTAGTTGACCAATGATAAAATATGTTTTCAATTTTTCCCTCATGTGAAAAGGCAATAAAGGGGCTAACCGTTGTCTCTTGAGATTATCAGCTCGTTTGAAAGTGTTTTGAATGAAAATGTTTATGGAATCAATTTTTAGTAAAAACACAATTGAATTCTAGAAAATAAAAAACATTTTCTCTAAACACTTTCAGTCATTTTAAAAGCGCTTCCAAACGAACCCTTTGTCTTTTCGAACTTTAAAAAATTAAATTAAGGGTGGTTGTTTTGTACGGCACACCAACACCAAACGCGGTAGTACACAACCGAACACAATGTTTGACTTTTGTTTGCAAAATCCATTCGGCCTATTCATGCCGAACTTAAACGAACAAATCGTCCGTTTTCAACCGGAAAAAGTGCTTAATATTGGGCAGTTTTTTACCGAACAAAAATGAGAACGTTTGGATTACTATAAACAGAGATTAAAAACAAAAGATTAACATGTCAAACCTGCTTATCAACAAGCTCAAGAGGCTGAAATCCGAGAGTATCCGACCGCAAACGCTGCCTAGAGCTCGAGCTCTTCGCGAACCCCTGATTCTTAGGAGCCGGAGAGGGATACACAACGGAAGTGGACCGGTTAAACAGTTGCGAAGAACCGCCGTTCTTCTGGACGTTCTGGAACAGCAGAACAGCCTCCCTTGCTTGTTGCTGAAGCAACAAGTCATCAGCATCGGAAAGCCGCTCTTTCTTCTTGGTCGAACCGTTTACCGATCTTCTAGTACTACCAGCGGAAGCCAAGGACGGCGAAGAGTACGTTGGCCGCTTCGAGGGGTTTCGGATCAAGTTTCTGGGCTTGTGCGCCGGCGAGAAGCATGCCATTGAGTTCCCCATTGGTGCAGTAGTCTTCAGATGTGAGAGAGACTTGAAAAGTTGTTGTGTGATTTATGTGCGTTGTTGACGATGTAGGAGGAGAATGTAAAGAGGGGAACACAAAGTTTGACCGAATTGTAAAGTATTAAAATACTAATCTGAGAGGTGTGACAAAATATTTGCATTATTTGAAGGTTCATGGAAGGGGAAAGGGATCCTCTTCGGATCCACTCATATCCTAACTGTTCATCGTACATCGTATGGTCAATTTTCAAATACTATTTGTGTTTAATTTTAAATAAAAAAAATCAGTTGATTTATGACCGCACGATGAACAATGAATGACTAAGATACGAGAATCCCTAAAATCCTCATAATTTGAATCCGATAGGATCCAAATCCCATGAAAGGTAATTAATATATTTTGAATTTTTAAACAAAGAGGACATTCTTCTGGCAATTTATGTCCTTTCTCTATTTTCATATGTTTTTAGTTGTTTTCACACAAGCTTACGGTGGAAAATGAGAAAAATTAAGGAAAATATCTGTGGTACTACTGAAGAGAAGACTAAACTTGTATCTGGAAAGAGAAATTTGAGTATTCCTCTAACAATTTTGGTTCAATTTGAGCTTTGGAACTTATGCGCGCATTGATTCCTGAATTTTTTACGTCGTAGAGTGTAGAGCAATAGTCATTTTCGGCAAATTTGTTAACACTTCTATCCCTTACTTTTCCTTAAAACCTTGTATTTCGAATGAGAGTTTTAACAGAAATATTCAAAATGATCATTGCTTCACATTGTGACTTGTTCAAAACTAATATTCTTCAAAAATGTGAATTTTACCACATATTTGTACTACCATTCGTACTATCTCTCTAATAGAGATGAAATCCACATATGTTGGTGAGCCCTTCCTGTTTTAAAAAATTGTATAAATAATAAGACAAATATATGATAAGTATAACATTACTCTATATTTTTAAATCAAATTAAGCTAAAATTCGAGACTAGTGCCCTGATTTAAAAAAAAAAAAAAAAAAAAAAAAAAAACTAAAGAATTTAAGTATTCATTTTTCCAAGCCAATTTATTTTGACCAAATGTGTCGGTTAGATTAGGAGGGAATGCATTAATATTTGCTCTGGCTTTCTCAGATTTACTAGAAATCGTGGCATCATAACTGAATTGAGTTGAACGATGACTTTTTAAATTTTCTTTTGACTTTATATGCTTAGCTTACGAAATTTCTCTGATTTAAACTACTGTAACATGCAGGAGATTGGCTCCGATATGACTGTAGGGGCCAGCCACATTGCCCCAGCTGACCGGCCTAACTCTGTTTGCAAGTCAAACTTTCACATTGGATACTCAAAAGTTAAAACTAAAGTAATGCAATTGACAAGTTGTTGAGAGCATGAATGTCACATCGAAAAAATTCTCGAAATCATTGACCTCTTGTTGCATTGTAACTGCAACACAAGAAAGTAAAGGGGATCCGACACGGATTTAGTTCAGCTTTAGATGGTTAGCATCGACAGCATGTTCTCCGAACGCTATGACAGCACTTCTCGTCATTTTCGCAATTGTGAAGCCGTTGCAGGGGGCTGCTTGGCTGGACAGGATTAAGCTCTTCATGAAGGCTCTAGTTCATAGGCCGGTCAGCATCTGACGTCCAAGCCACCGATTCTGCAATCGCTCCTTACTCTGTTGCACGTCAGGATCAGGCATGAAGAAAAGCGAATGGCGATAGAGCTTTCAAACAAATCATCTGAGATTCTGAGCCATGCCTGCATGTAATATGGTACTAAGTAAGAACTTCATAAAAACTAAGAAAAAATTCGCTGCAGATTGTGCAGCCAACAATGGGATCTTTGCATAATCCAATAAGCATACCTCTTCGCGCTACATTCAGTTCTGCATGGGATAGAATTGAGAAGCAAGCTCAGTTAACCACAAAAAGTCGATTCTAGTTGTGTTGCGGATGAATTTTCTACCAGTTTCGACCAGTTCGTTGCAAATTAGGCACTCTGGTCTATTCCTTATTACGGAAGATGGGTGGATAGAAACCACCTCACCATTTGCTAAAGCCCTGTCATTTGATTGATTAACTGTGAGAGGTCGTACATCAATCCAAGAGAGAATTAAAAATACACGTAGAAGGGTACAAGCTTTGGAGCGTAAAAGAAACCAGCCAAAAGAATTTCAGAACATGTCAAGGTAAGTTCAAGACCTGTATGTTCCATCAGGCTGCATTGAGGAAGAAAGAAGTGGCAAGACATCTGCAAAACTGAAGCACATCATCCCCACAAGAGGTGATACGAAGACCCATTTGTTCAACATGTCCAATGAATTTGTCTGCAAACAAACATCTATTAAATTTAGCGAAGCTAATTACTTCAATCTACACCATAATGGACACACTGAACTTCCAAAACAGGGGCACAAAATCCAGTCTGATTGTGTGAGACCAGCAGAAACGTGTCTATAACTTAAGAAGGAAGAGAAATAACCAACCTGTGAATGTCACGAGCATTTGTCAAGGAGCGACTATGAATGAAATTATCCTTGCACCATTTCCAGAAAGCTTTTTCACGCTTCTCTTTACTAAGACCTGATCTCTTGTCCAAGAACTCATTGGATGCTCGATATACCTTAACCAAAGTGAGGTGGTCTCCCTCTGGACTTGCAAAGGATTTCTGTGCAGTTCTCACCTGACAACAGGAAGAAATGTATAGCAAGTTAGAGTAGTACTGTAAAAGACAACAGTTCACCGTATTGTGAGATCATGAAAGAGAAGTATAACTACATTATATAATCTATGAGAAATTAACAGGAGACAAATAGGTAATGCTTCATATGCAAATACCTCTTCTATTTGTCACGGGGATTAAAAAATATTGATCCCACAGAGAGCATTGCAACACTTGTCAACATCTCTTCCAGGCAATTGAATTCACTTGCTACAATTAGAGCCCTTGAATAAACAGGGTCTAAGGTAGCGTTTGGTACGCGGGACGGGACGGAACGGAGTGGGACGAGACGTTCCGTCCCACGTTTGGTGAGCCTAAAATGGGTGGAACACGCTGTTCCACGGGACAAGTTTTGAGTGATTTTTGGTTCCACCTCTCCCCCCTGGAACGACTTGTTCCACGTTCGTGGGACGCAAATTTATAACATTTTAAGACAAAAATACCCCTTGTCTTTTTCAATATTTACACCATCCAAATCCTAAATCCTTGCTGCTCTCTCTTCCCGTAGACTTCCTCCTCATCCTTCTTCTTCATCCTCTCCCATAGCCGTCGACTGCACCCAGCCAGCACGCAGCAGCACGGAGCCACTACCGTCGCACTGCAGATTGACCCAAGTATGCGATTAATGTCTTTTGTTGCTGATTTGGGTTGTGTTAATTACGGGGTTTTGTTAATTATCAGATTTGATTTGTTAATTACTGGGTTTTGTTAAGATTTGTGCAACTGGGAGTGCGAGTGCATTCTTCGCTGGGTTTTAGGTTGGACGGGCCATGCTGGGGTTTAGGCAATGAAAACCGTGGATGGGGTTTGGGCGGAAACAAGGTTGTTTTTCTACTGGGGATTTTGGGGCAATTGATGGTGATGATATCCATGGATTTCCAGAAGAAATTGATGAATAAATAATATTATTAATTAGGTTCTTGAAAAAAAAAAATGGAAAAAAAAAAACAAGAAAGAAATTGATTGAAAGTTCCTATGATTGTATTGGGTTTTGATTGAAATAATTGACATGTTGATCTTAATTAGGTGGAGGTTCAAGTGGGGAAGTTGTATTGTGTGAGTAAGTGGGGAAGTTGTATTGTGTGAGTAAGGCTGCTGTTTTACCTATTAACATTGAGGATGCTGCTCGGAGTGATATCGAAATCGAAAAGGCTTTGCAGGTACATTTAGATGATTTATTTTGAAATGGATTATTGAAGCTTTGTTAAGCTTTCTGGGACTTTCTCTCTTAGTACATGTATATTCGTTGCTGGTTCAAGTGAAGGTGGAGCTGCTGTTTTTAGACTCAACTACAAGGGTCAAGATGCCTGCCTTGCCCAGTCACCTCAGCTTCACAAGCAAATGGCTATACGTGGTGACTTCGGTCGTATTTTTGAGATTGGTCCTGTTTTTAGAGCTGAGGACTCCTTTACCCATAGGCATTTGTGTGAGTTCACTGGCCTTGATGTTGAGATGGAGATCAAGAGGCACTACTTTGAGGTAGAATTAGTAATTTTTTAGGCATTTGTTTACCTTTACCGCCGTATATGACGATGTATGTTAACTTATGGTGCAATTATATGCTTGTTTGTTCTGGTCATGCATGATCATTAAACTTATATATTTTTCAACATTGCATGGCAACCATGACCATATAGACAGAACCAGCCATCTCATTCATGCTAACCATCTCATCACTTCCAATATTTACTAGCTCAAGGAAGTCTGGCTTCATCAACCTAAATCATAGAAGAATTACAAATTTTAAAGGGGTTTGCAAGTGGAACACAACATATACCTAATAAAATTTGGACCAAGAAAAACAAATAATGGATAAGCATATAGTGTTAAAATTTGAACAAGTTAAAAAAAAAAAAAAAACAAAAAACAAAAAAAAAAAGTCTCATCCCGTTCCACGCATAAATATTGTACCAAACAACAAACGGAACATGGGTATTTTAGTCATTTTTATCTTTTGGTTCCGTTCCGTCCATGTGCTGCCAAACGCAGAACGGAACAATCATCCCGTTCCACGCATAAATATTGTACCAAACAACAAACGGAACATGGGTATTTTAGTCATTTTTATCTTTTGGTTCCGTTCCGTCCATGTGCTGCCAAACGCAGAACGGAACAATCGTCCCGTTCCGTCTTGCTCGTACCAAACATAACACGGAACATCCATTCTGTCCCGTCCCGTTCCGTCCCGTCCTGTCCTGTCCTGTCCCGTTCCGTCCCGTCCCGTCTGCGTACCAAACGGTACCTAAGGGAAGGCCAGCCATTTGGATTCCAACTGGATTTGACAATTTGCAGTCATCTGTCAAAGCACCCAGTATGAACAATTGCTCCAGTGATTTGACAATAGCCGACCTGTTCAAATAAGATTCATGTATGATAAAATTCTCTGGAGATGAGAAAGCAATATTTATTAAAAGAACTAACTGCTTGACAAAAAAACAAATATTGCTTTCTACCATCAACATCTAGCCACAAAAGGCATCATAAGAAAAAGTAACAAAACCTATCCGAGATTTTACCTTGACGGTTTTTCTATGAAGTCAAACCCAGTGCCTTTGTCGAATCCTCAAGTTTCCCAAATTGGTCTTCTGGGTAGAGGCGGAAGCATTTCCCTGGTCCTTCTCTCCCTGCACGCCCACTGCAGAGTGAAGTTATTTGTCATACAAAGTTATAGTTCTTAATCATCAGTTCAAATATCCACAGGTCATAAACTAAATTTAACGATATGATATTGCAGTGTATAGAAGTGTTAAATTGAGCTGCCAAAGAAATCTGACAATTCGTATAACATATATATAAATAAATTACTTCAATTATCTTTGAAACTGATAATTTTATTTTTATGAATTCTTGTTAGATCCCCCTGACCAGCTATGCTTACCTTCTTTGAAGAGCCTGTGCTTTTGAAATTGGGACAACAACCAAAGATTCCAACCTTTTGTTTGGATCATAGTAACGTGCTTTTACAAACCCAGGATCTACAACATACTTGATTCCAGATATTGTCAATGATGTCTCAGCAATATTTGTTACCAATATTACCTAACAGGAAAATTACAGAATCGAGATCACCAAATGAATATGTATCAGAAACCTTCCTTTTCCAACAATGTGTAGATTTTCCCCATGATCAAGTCCATGAAAAGAACAACTTTACACAAACACATATGCAAGATACGATACACAAACCAAAAGTGTAGACAATTAGAAGAAGCTCGAATTATATGATTAGTTATAGAAAATTTTTCATTAATTAACCTAAAAAATAATTTATTATGAAACAAAAATAATTAAAAAAAAAAAACACTTTAATTTAGGAGCAAAATTGGCAATAAAAAGGGGGTGAGGTGAGTGATTGAATATCTTGGGGGTGACATTGCTCTTCACTTGACAACTTGTTATGCAACAGTCACAAAATATCTTGATGCTTCCTATTCATATTTAAAAGCCAATGGACATCATTAAGTTACCTTACGAAATCCAGAAGGGGCTTGTGCAAAAACTCGCATTTGATATTCTGACGAAAGAGATGAGTATATAGGAACAGCTAATAGTTTTTTACTGTTTTCTGGCAACTGTTTAATTCTTTCTTTGACTAGTCTTTCTGCAGATTCAATTTCTTCTTGACCCGTCAAAAATACAAGTATATCACCAGGTCCCTGCTTCAGATGAATCTAACACCACAATTATACAAATAAGTTATATTACAAGAACATGTACATTATTTAGGAATACATGGCCCTTCTCCGATGAATCTAACACTAAATACTGATGAAGGCACTAAATACCTGCAACATTGTGGTTAACGAAGCATCTAGATAATCTTGTACAGCTCTTGCACCTCCGAAGTACTCAGCAAATTTTTTTGCATCCAAACTGGCAGACATGATAATTAACTTCAACGGGGTCCTTCCTTGGTATTTATTGAGAAAATGGAAGACCTGAGCACCGTTTTCTTTCAAAGGCACGTCATTATTTGTATTTTGGAGGTTGTTGAGGGATTGACCTTGCTTTTTGTACATTTTTCAGCAAGCCTAGTAGCACATCAATCTGGACATTTCTCTCATGAGCTTCATCAATAATTATGTCTGAATACCTAGAGAGATATGGATCCAATAGTGCTTCCCTGGAAGTGCGCCAACCGTTATATCAGTTCATAAAAATTATATAGCTATGCCAAAATCTAGATCTAGACAGACAACAACACGGTTTTACACCAACGGAAAGAAACTATTTTTTTGCGGAGATATGTCTCTATATGCCGAAATTGATTGTTAAGTATGTTAATTGAGCTTCTAGATGAAATTCCTAGGGAGAAAGCATTTGCCTAAACAAGTTATTTGTTAATTGAGCTTCTAGATGAAATTCCTAGGGAGAAAGCATTTGCCTAAACAAGTTATTCACCAAATTTACCTCAGTAGCAATCCATCTGTCATGTACTTTATCCTTGTCGAACTAGACGTCACATCTCAAATCTGATGGAGTAACCAACTTTTTGACCCAAATTAACACCACATTCCTCAGCAACCCGTTTTGCCACAGTCATCGCAGCCACACGCCTCGGTTGAGTTACCCCAATGACTTTTCCGTCCCCGGAAAACCCAGCATTGAACAAAAACTGAGGTAATTCTAGAGAAACAAAAAAGAGATTATACCACAGGAAAAAACAACATCAAGCTGAAAGCTCAGAACTACAAAATCCAAACAAATACAGATATTCGAAACAAAACAATCTGCACATAAATACATATTCAATGATGCATTTGTAAAACTTACACAGAATATATAAAAGAATTACATACGTGTCGTTTTTCCGCTTCCCGTTTCGCCAACAATAATCAAAGTATCGTTCTTCCGAACCTCCTCGATTAGCCGTTTTTCAACTAGTAATCAAGCAACACCAGTAATTATACTCCTAAGATAATCACTATACAGAAACAAAAACTAATTAGTCTCAGATTAAACTCAGAAACATATCCAAATTAAGAAAGCTGCTGCAGCAAATGCCCGTAAACTAAAACCAAACTTACCACTCGAAGTTACCTGCCAATAGATGATATAGCCCAAGGCCCCTTGATCCTAGAAAGAACACCTGGAATTGAACCCAAACAGCACTCTCCCAGCAACTGCAGAAGGACTTCGCCATCGTTCTCATCACTACCAATATCTATTCCACCAAAGATTTCACCTTTCAAAAACAACATTACAGTAGAATCAAAATTCAATATCCAACAGCAAGAAAACTTAAACAAAATGCAATGCTACAGAAAAAAAGAAGAAGGAGAAACTCAAAAACAACTGCATACCATTATAAACAAGGATATTCTTGGCCGAATCTATCAATGGCTGAACTACAAGGCTTACTCCCCTGAGCTGCAAAGTGGCACCCAGGAAGTGCAACTCAGCAGACGAACAGGGAACGGTGCTGAAATGGGTATGCAAATGAGGTGTTCGACCATTTTCCAAATAGAAACAATTGCCTTCATCGCCTTCGCAACGCGACTCCTCCTTTACTTCCCCCTCAATGGAAGACACAATTTCTCGCACCGGGAGACGATTCAAAATGGGTGAATGGAGAAGAAGCTTCGTGCTGCCTAAGCTATCGGGACCCCTCCTCCGTAAAGCTTCTCTGAGGTCGTCAATGTCGAATGCAAGCTCCTCAGTACCAACAATGTCAGTTAGCTAAATTGTGAAGCCAAAAAGCTTTGATTTTTCATGGAAAAACAGAATAAGAAGGAGACTGACTTGATCGGAGTTGAGGACTGGAAGTGTGGAATTGAGAAATAGGGAAGATAGATGAAAACGAATGCCGCGAATGATCAAAGCGATTCCGCACATTTCTATTGGTGTATGATTGCCACCCACACTAAACCCTAATTTTTTAAATTTTGGGGGTTTGACTGTTGCTATTATACATTTGCTCCCAGCAACATGGCATAAAGCACCAATCATAGCCGTTAGATCATAAACTTTTCCATTATTTAAACCAATCAAGGTCGTCAAGTTTAAATTTTTGTACAATATTAATTTACAGAGTAAATTGTAGCAATTGTTCTTTAATTTTAATCAAATTGGAGTAATGGTCTTTTAAATAAAAATTCATTATCATTGGTCCCTCAATTCATCAAAACATGTAGCTATGGTCATTTTCGTCAACTTCGTCAGAATTTTGTCAAAATGAGTTATATTGGAAGGACCATTGCTACAATTGGGTTAAAGTTGAGGGATCATTGATTCAATTGAGTTAAAATTAAGGGACCATTTCTCTAGTTTAATTAAAATTGAAGTACCAATGGTAATAAATTTTTAGTTAAGAAATCATAGTTGCACATTTTGATGAGTTGATAGTTCAATAGTAATAAATTTTTAGTTAAGGGATCATTGCTCTAATTGATTTAAAATTAAGGGATCATTACTACAATTTACTCTAATTTACATGGGCGGAAAGGTGTTAATTCTTGCTAACAACATGAATTCAAACTTCATCAGTGGCTAATCTAACGTTTAATATGGCAAAATTCATCCTTTGATAAAATAAAAAAATAAAAAAAAACTCTCCCGAATTGCAAAAATACGAAAAATTCCCTCCAACTCCAGGAAAAGGCAGTTGGCGAGAGAGGAGAACAAATCGTAGGAAAACCCAAACAAATCGCCTACAATAAATCTCAACCTTCACATCTCCAGATTCTCCAGACCAATTACTACTCTCTCTCTCTCTCTCTCTCTCTCTCTCTCTCTCATTTTCTCTCTCCTCTCTGGAGTTGGAGACCCGCAGCGCTTCTTTGGCCCGCACACTCCGACCTGCTGCCGTCATCTGGTGCATTTCGACTCCTCTCTTCTGGGTCGTTGAGTTTTTTAATTGATTGCATTGTATTGTGAACCGACGGGTGTGATTGTTTGAACCCGATTCTGCTGCGTCTTACTGTTCATAGTTTTCGGATCCGACTTTTGTTTTCTTTGCTATTTGATTTAAATACTTGTTTGTTTTTGCAAGGGTTTCTGATTCGTGACGTAAAGTCTGTAGATTTGGGTCCAGAAACAAAACAAAAACAAAAAGATTGTAAATTTGGATCATATCATTTTTATTTAATTCCGTTATAAAATTTAACAATACCTTTGTAGTTGCAGAGATGGCAAATCAATCAGAAAACCGACCTACAGCAACGGACGTGGGCAATATTTTCATAAACCAATATTATGATTTCTTTCAAAACGATTCTCAGGTGCTCCATAAATTTTACCAGGAGTCAAGTGTGCTATCTCGTCCTGGACCAGATGGTTCGACGACGACAGTGACAACTATGGAAGTATGTCTTGTAAAAAGTTTACTAGTTTCTTTACAGATTCTCATTACCTTGTGATTTTAAGATAAACGGTATGACACGAAAAGACATGAACACGACAAACTCAACCTGTTTGCCAGCCCTATTGGGAATTGGTTGGGGCATTAGATTGTTAATATGGTGGCCTTTAGCTGTTCTTTCTTGCTTCTTTTGCCTGCATTGGTCTTTGGCAGCTTTAGTTGTTAAAAAATTTCATGTTGGTATTCTCTATTAGCTCAAAATTTAGGGGTGTTTAAGCAGCATGTTTGTGTTGACCAGAGGTCTCGTGCGTATTCTGATGATTTAATCGGTCTTTGTTTTGAAATAGGGCATTGAGAGCATGCTACTGTCCATGGGCTACCAGAATTATGGTGATTTAGAGATATCAACCACTGATTCTCAGTTTTCATTCAATGGTGGAGTGATTGTTTTAGTGACTGGGTATTTAACTGGGGGTGACAACGTGCGAAGAAATTTTACTCAAACTTTCTTTCTAGCCCCGCAACACAACGGATACTTTGTCTTGAACGATATCTTTAAATATGTGGATTTTGTGCCAAGTAATGTCGATGAAAATACACCACAAGCGCCTGTGCCCTCCAACCATGGTATGTTATATTGTATAGGTGCTGGTTTGCTGGTTGGTTGTTGCTTCACTTTTTGGTAAACAGATTATTTATGGATATTATGGTATCAGTTGTTACAGAGCCCGCTGCAGTTGCTGATCAGCCCGTGGTCAGTCAAACTACGTCTGTGGAGGTTGAAAATACTAATGGAAAGAGAGGGAATGATGTGATGGAAAATGTTCCGGAACCTGTTACTAAATATAGTGTTAGTGCTGATGATCCCATTGAATCAAGACGGAGTGTTGCCCAGAAAGAAACGGAAGCCACAGCTTCTATCACCCAGAATGATGCTCCGAAGAAGTCTTTTGCAGCAGTGGTGGGTTATTGTTTGGGATATCTTGTAGTTGGTACTTGGCATCACTAGACTTCTACTTATGTATATTATCTTATTGTTTCTTGGTTCAGGTGACTGCTTTGAGTGAGAATAAAGCTCCATTCGTTGTGAGGACACCTGCACCCAAACCTGCACCCAAACCTGTTGAGCAACCGCGTGCACCTGGAACGCCTGAAGCTTTAACTCCCCGAAACAACACTGCTATGGAAAAGAATAATGTCCCTGCAGGTTGATATTCCTTTTACGGTGTAGTATTAACATTCACCTGTTTTGTCTCTGCCAATATACGAGGTGTTACATAACTTTCTCGCTGTTGGGAAAAAGTATTCATACTTTGTACCCTTCTTATTTACTGTTGCAGTTAAGTCTCATGCCATTTTCGTCGCCAAGTTGCCCATGGATGCGACTCGTGAAGAACTGGAGAAGATATTCAAGCCTTACGGACCCATCAAGCGCAACGGGATTCAAGTTAGAAGCAATTGGGTATGCTTTACGTTTTGTGTGTACTCTTCTTGAATTGACCCTTTTGGTTTATTGCTACTTACTCCTTGCACATTACACTTTGCGTATCCAGAATCAGGAAAACTGTTTTGGGTTTGTGGAATTTGAATCTGCTGACTCCATGCAACGTGCGCTTAAGGGATCTCCGATCAAATGCGGCGAATGTGAGCTACACGTTGAAGAGAGACGAGGCAAGTCGAAACGTCATTCATTGCTTCCTCAATCACGTGCATTTCTCTTGTACAAAATTCAAATATTCTCACGATCTATTTTATTCACACAGCCGGCGACAAAGGAAGGTTCTCATCAGGAAGGGGTGGCTACCGAAATGACAACTTTAGGGGCCGCGAGAACTATGGGCGTGATAATTACACTGAAGGCCGCGGGAACTATAATGGAGGCCGCGGGAACTACAGCGGAGGCCGTGGTTATGGAAGAGATGATCAGGAGAAGAGGGGCGAATATCGTGAATTCTCTGGTGGTCCAGCAGCTAGGGGGAATGCCGGGCGCAATGCAGAAGGTTATCAGAACCAGAAGTCTTACCAGAATGGAGGAAAAGCTCCTCGTCAAACGGCGAAATCTGCTGCTGCTTAAATTAGACTAAGGAACTTAAAACATAAGAAGCTTATTTACTTGAGAGATTTCATACAGAAGGCATTAATTTTTGGTAGGCACAAGTTAGAGAGCGGCCATGTTACTTGGGAGGACTTTGACCTCACTGAGTTTTCCCCAGTTTTATTATTATTCTCTCTCTTGTTTTTTGGTCTGAAAAATGTTTGAACAAGCAATGGTCCTGAAAGGTTCACTATTGCATTTTGAAGCCCATTTACTCTGCAATGTAGACAAAAATGGAATTGTGAGGTTGGGAAATTTTATTTAAATCCATGTAACCTATTTCTACATCTAATTTAGTTTAAATATTAATTGTCTATTTTACCTTATTGCATAATTACTATTAAATACAAAATGAAATTAATAATAAAACTCAAATTTGTCAATAAACTCAAACATTGTTAAAACTCTAATAGCTCTTTTAGAGAAAAACAAATTTTTTTTTTATTGATGGATGGCGATTTTGAAGTTTAGAATTCTCCAACCAAGGTATGACTCAATTTACGAAATTTTTGTTCGTCTGATTTCAATTTTTTAGAGTTTATAAGATGAGTATTTTTAATTTTACATGTACTAAATTAGTATTTACAAATTCACACAAACAGTAATGTTTCTGACATTCAAACACCAGAGACTAACCAAGATGCATCTTGAAATACAATATAATTCACTATAATTTGTAGCCTTTGATATCTTGCAGGTAAGTAAGTCTTGTGTCTACAACTTATGTGCTTGTAAATTAATATGTGTGCCACAAATCTTAGGCTGGTGGTGGTTGTCTTGCATCTTTTAAGGCGTTGGTTAGACTTGTACAGTGGTAGTGGATCGGTTGGAATTTCATAAGCAAAATTTGCAATTGATATGCGAGTGTGCAGTTTCGAAATTACAGAGATATTATCTTGTCAAACAAACAGTAATGTTTTCAAACAAACCCAATTTGATTACTAGTGCTCCATGCACTTCATGAAGCATATAGAAAGATTCCTATGAAAAGGTATGGTAACAGACACATATGCTCATGAAACAGAGACCACACTGAGAGAGATGGTGATACATGGTTTTTTGTCGACATCTATAAAAGTGTCAGTGTTGTCATCAGCCATGGCTGAATTCACACCTCAATTCTCACTATTCATTTCCAAACGGCGTAAATATAGAGTTATAAATCAAATGGGTGTAAAAATAAATTCACATATTGAATTGAATTTATAGGGGTATATTAGGTAATAAATTTGGGTTTAGAGAAACATTATTAGTAGTTTAGTTAAAAATCAAATGGATGCAAAGAATAAGTTGGATGTAGAGATAAGGTTATACATGTTTAAATAAAATTTCCCTAATTATTATTGGAAGTTTCATATTTATGCTGCTGATTTTCCATCATATGTTTTTTGGTCTAAAAATGCACGTCAAGTAGATTTGTGTGTAATTAGTCATGTTATCGTATACAATATAATTCTAATTATATTAGATTATCGCTTGAACGATTGAGTCGTGACATAACGAAAAATATTACTTTTTCGTGGCTAGAAGATAACGAATTCAAATGATGTGAAAAGTGGTTGATAATTTTTCCGACACGAGTCTTTTTAGTTTAAGGTCGCCCTTCTTTTTGTCGCTCGAATAAAAGATACAGGTGCTTGTGGCCTTTGCTGGTGCCACGCTTTCCTTCAACTTGCGGGGATGGATACAATACCTTTCCAGACAGTGCACGTAGCAGCAGGGGTATTTTAGTCCTTTCGGACATGGTGCAAGACACACCTGTGTGTAACTGTGAATTGCGAACACGTGGCGACCAGAAGTGTCGGAGAATCTTTCGTCGCTCCACGTCAACATCAAGTACGTGTCGTATCAGATCATCATCTCTACAAGATCGCCTTCTTTATTGTCCCTTTTTTTTCATCTCTTTCTTGACCATTTTTCTCTTTTTTTCTCTTTTTCCTTTTTGCTTCCTATTATCTGTTTCATGGCATTTCTTTTGGGTTTTTGAATTTTTATTTTGAATCAAGGTTTAATAATTGAAAAAGCATCAATTTTCTTATAATTAATTCAAGAAATTGATTATTAGCAGAAAATTAGTATTATTATTTCAAAAATCTTATTTTCGCTTCAAATTTTTTATAATTAAAAAAATATATTCGTGAAGAGTGCAAAATAATTTTTAAAATGCTAGTAAAAGTTATCTTACTTCGCACTATTTTGTTTATTCTATTTATTAAAAAATGAATAAATTGACATTTTAACCTTTGATAAATGTATTTTAATTTTTTTTAAGAAACAATATTTTATCCACTAAGAGTGAGAAAGTAGGTTAAGTCTCATAATGAATTAGCAATAATATGATTCAAATTCGACTTTAGCGATAATTGAACCTAAAACCTTTCACTTACAAGTTAAGAGAAGTACCACTATAATATAGTAGTAAGTAACAATTGTATTTTAATTTTAGAATACTAGATTTAAAGTGCAAATTTTTGTAAAAGAGAGCATGATTAGGCTCTTAAAGCGCAAAATAACTCCTCTTATTTTTCGGTTGATTAAATAGAAATTCTTTTGACAAAAGAAAAATGAAAAAGGTTAGCTTAAAAATTACAGAGAACACGTCACTCAGTATTACTATTTGATGATATTTTTTTCATTTTGAAATAAGAGGTTTTAGGTTTAAATATCAAATTAGATTGCTCAATGTGTGATTTTGTCCAACTCTTCATTCTTTTAATGTAAAAATATCGATGTACCAAAAAAAATAAAAATACGGGGAATAAGGGGGGGACCACCCATCCACTTCCACGTCCGGCCTTACACGTAGCACCACCTAATTCTTTTACTATTTACAAGGTAGGAAACTGCCACTTGCCACTGTGGGTCCCGCTTTGTTACTCATGAATAACGTGATAAGACATGTTTCTTGTTTGGAAGCACGTGCATCACACTCTACTCGCCTGATCTCTCCTTTCTTCCTCGTTGACTTTTTTGGTAATAAATGTTGACTACACCGTCATACTTTTGAAATTGGTAGAAACTTCAAAGTTCGCCCGTCAACTTGCGCGCTATTTCTTTTACTAGAAGATAAAAGTGCCAAGCGTATCTCGTTATCTAACACCAGATGAATCCCACACACTGTAAATTTAAAAAGTTTGAAAAAAAATATATACAAAAACAGAGAAATTAGAGTGAAATGCGAGAAAGTAAAAGAAAAAAAAAATGTGGATTTAAAAAAGAAAATTAGAAATGTTATGGTGATATGTAACAGACGATTTTTTTTATATAATTGCTCTAGATTATGATGCGTAATTTAACCATTTTCAAATCTATATGTTTAGTAGACACGAAAAGCAGGAATCTGATGCCTCTGTTCATTTATAAATTGTATTTTTCTTTTTCATGTCTCCATAATTTATAATGAGATTTTAACATTCTGGAACGCCAATTATCATATATATTAACAACCATGCGTGTTTTCTTGTTTTTTAATAGTCTACTTGGTAGACTCAAGAAAAGACACTAGTGAAACGACAAATTAAAAAAACGGCATGATTTATTATTTCGTTGTATCTTGGTAGGAGTTGTGCGATAATCTACCTATAAAGCACGACTATTGTAACTTAACCTAAAAAGCTATAATAAAAAATGGTTCCATGCTATACAGGTTCGGATTTGAAAAATAATATCTTACAAGTTATAACCTTAATTAATAATATAAAAACTCACAACAAATTAAATTATCAGATTTAAATCTGTTTAGTTAAGAAGATGATAGAGAGAAGAGTAATATCATGCTGTTAGTCAAATAATTGAAACGACAGCTATGGCCTTGAACACGATCAACAATAAACAAACACAAGTGGGCAAGTAGCGGAAGAGATATGTTCGATTATGTAATTTTATGATGTGCTCAAACCATTGCCGTAAAATATTATTATTTTACTCAAATTATATCATATTTTTTCTCGCACATTAACTATAGACCGTTTCTAAATAATAACACGTAAAATATAACAACACATGACGGTATTGTTCCGTTCATCCTCAAAATATTATCCAGCACGGCGGCGGCAGCAGCAGAAGAGTTTAACTAGACCCAAAACCTACGCCGAGGAACTTTACGAGGCCAAACCAGTCCCGCCCACGTGTCTCGTAAGCGCTGTCCATGTTAGACCGACACGTGGTTCTATCCCCCTTCTACATTCTCCTCCCGAAACGTGTCTCTGGAAGGACAGGTTACTGTTACTAGTGGAGAGACGACAAAAAGACAATGCCGGTCAGGCTACGTGTCGCCACACCATTCCTCAAATCAGCCACTTGGCTCCGCCCATGTAGTCTTCCTTGTCAGAACATCAAGGGCATTTTGGGAAATGCAACAGAAAATCGGCCCACAAACTCCCTCTCCGGTCTCTGCTTTTCTTTCTTTCCTCTTTCGTCTTCTCTCTTTTGTTTTTCTCTCGATTTTCATTTTTTTTTCTGAGCCAATTTTCTTCGGTATCCGTAATCTCGGATATCTCTCAACTCGGGAATTAAACTCGACCGAGTTGAAAACGGACGACTCATAAAGAAGCAGAGAGAGAGAGAGAGAGAGAGAGAGAGAGAGAGAGAGAGAAACGGCTTTCTTTGGTGGGTCGTTTCTGAATCGGATTTTGAACTTAGAGCTCCGAGCGTTGTCGTTCTGCCATCTTAAACAAGTTTCTGCTGATTCAGATCAAAGCTTCAACCTTTCGAATCTGCAGATACACATATATAGCTTCTGAAGCATATATACACACTCATATATATATATATATATCTGTTTTTTCCATGGGGGAAGCTAATGAAAGGAGAAGGAGAGCAATGGAAAATCTCTCTCTGGAAATGGATAAGTATCCGAGAGATTTGCTGCAGAGATTAATGTGCAGAAGCAACGACGCAACGACGCAGTTGCAATATGCAGAGGCTAACGAAGAAGAAGAGTCGGATGAGCTGGAGTTGAATCTCGGGCTTTCGTTGGGCGGCCGATTCGGGGTCGATAAGAGTGCCAAAAACAAGCTAATCCGATCTTCGTCGATTGCCGGAACGATGCCGTTTGTGAGGGACGACAACGAATCGACGGCGCCGTCGTACACGACGGGGCTGATGAGGACCTCTTCGCTTCCGGCGGAGACGGAGGAGGAGTGGAGGAAGAGGAAGGAGTTGCAGACGCTGAGGCGGTTGGTGGCGAAAAGGAGGAGGTCGGAGAAGCAGAGGAACTCAAAGGCCGAGAAAGAAGGGGGTTCTGTGGAGGAGGAGAAGTGCGAACTTGAGGGCTCAGTTGGGCCCAATTTGGCGGGTGGTAGGGGTAATCGGACGGCGGAGCCGCCTTTCGGGTTGCCTAGTTGGGTTGCGGCAGCAGTTGCTAGGCAAGCTGCTAGTGGCAGCGGTGGCGGTGGCGGAGTGGAAAAAAATGCATTCACGAAATTCAATGGTGAGATTTTGAGTGGGTTGCAAGGATTTGGAGGACAACCCAATTCGCAGGTCTCGGCGGAGTCACAAGGCGGAAGCTCGTCGGGGATGTCGGAATTGGAGAGTAAACCTCTTCCAGGTATTTCAATTTTTCTTAATTCTGTTTCTTAATCTGAATTTTGATGAATTTTTTTCGATTGAAATTCGGTTGTTAAGTGATTGGTTTTGCTTTGATTAGGTGGGTTTTTGTTTTGTTTTGTTTTGGACTAGGATTATACGAGTGTAGGGCAAGTCTGCTACATTAGAAGATGGCATCTTAGGTTGTTTTCCCATGTGGTCTTTCTCTTTTGTTCTTTGTTGTAGGATGAGGTGTTTTAATCACGTGTGTGCTCGCTCTCTTTAGTTAATGGAGTGCGATGCAAAGTTGGTTGCTTTTAAAATTTGGGAACAAGAAAGGGGACATGAGTTTCTCAGCTTAACACACCTAAACAGTTGTTTTCTGTTCGTTACGGTTTAGTTTCCAGAAAGTGATTGATCACACAGACTCAATTCGATATGAAACACAGACAGAGCTTTTGGTGGAAGCTCCCTTTGGAAAGGATGTGTCACCACCGTCGAGTTGATAGGGAAATATAGGTTTAGCTCAAAACTACAAACACTAAATGGAGGACATGGGGTAGCAACCGTAGGATGGTACCCGAAAGTTCACTTTATAACATCTCATGGTTGCTGGTTGTTAGCGAATAGGCCAACAACGCATATCAAGCTAAACTTTCTTAGAGCAAAACTCTTGTTAGAGCTAAAGCCTCTCCTTAGCATTGTTTTGAATTTGAAAAGGATGTGTCTTGTGGCTGCATTTTTGTAAGACGCAGGTAGGGATCGCTTTCGTTTCCAAGTGAGATTCAAGATGTAGCTGATCGGCGTTCACCTTCCACCCTCATGCATGATAGAATTTATCTGAGAATTTTCCAAGGGGAGCGGAAAATGATGTAGTAGTTATACAAGAATGTCGTTGCAGCACATGCTGCAGCAGCTGCACTGATCTCTAACCTGTCCAATAGTCTAGTTAGTTTCAAGGTAGGGCCGGATACGTGACAGAACGATTGTAATGTACCAAGCATTTTCTTGTATCTGTTACAAAACTGAGAAATGATGAGTTGGACCTTGTGGTACAAGTGACGACGATTCTGTAACTAAGGCAGTGCAGGGTGCAATTACCGCCAGTGATTCGTTCACCTGGATTGTGGACAAACTGAGATGCGGTATGAGCAATCTAGAGAAGTAAATATCAAACTTTATAGTGCTCTATGGAAGTTGTTTTCCATTTGATATTGCAGCCTAAACCGAGATGCAGAGCATTCTGACCAAAACGAAATATTGATTAGCCTATCCTAGGAACTGTACTCTTATGATGTAGTCAGGTAGTCTATGGAAGTAACTTTCTTGTCTGAAGCTGGCTTCTTTCTATCTGTCTTCGTCGATGTGAAAACCTTGTTGGGATGGATTGACATGTAGTTCAAGAGGCTCTTACCTGCAGTGTCTTCAAATTTCCAAATTTGCTAATGTGAATTTGAATGTTGAAATCATAGATTCCACAAACAGGTGAAGGAGAAGAAACAAAAGAGGTAACACTGCTACTTCTAACCTCATAGTTTTCCCTTCACATCACAGGAACCAGCAGCTGCGGTGAAGCAAGAAACCCTACACCCGCTAGCAACCAGTCGCTCCAAGAACGAAGTAATAATGCCGTTGGCTCTTCAGGCACAGGAACAACAGACGACGCATCCAGAACTCCCAAACCCGACATAGAGAGCCCGTCTAGGAAGCCAAATACGCAAGAAAACAGCAAAAGGGAAACGAGCAGGAACGGGATGGAGGACATGCCTTGTGTTTTCACGAAAGGGGACGGCCCAAATGGTAGAAAGGTTGAGGGAATTCTGTACCGATATGGGAAGGGAGAGGAAGTGAGAATAATGTGTATATGCCATGGAAGCTTTCTGTCTCCGGCAGAGTTCGTGAAGCATGCTGGAGGGAGCGATGTCACTAACCCACTTAGGCATATTGTTGTAAACCCAGCTGCCCCTTCCTTTTTGTAAACAAAAAGGAGAGAGATTTAAATTTGATATACATATTTTTTGTTTGTTTATTTATTTTTATCTTCGGTGAGTTCTAGATATGGAATTTAAATAAATTAATATCTATGCATAACAGCAGTGTGTTGCGTGTTCATGGTATCCGCGATTGTCTGCGCCTCTAAAATATAGCTTTCTTTTTACCTTAAGCTCTATATATTTCTCTTGTAAGTTTTGAAGAGACGAATATGGTGTCGTCGTCTTCTTACAACGTCTAGTTTCTCTTCTTTACGATCCAAAACACCCTGAATCCATTTCTTTTAATCAAGAATTGTTGTTCATGACGTTTGAACTCAGAATCTCCTCCAACAAAATGAAGACTGAATCGCATTAGACGAAACGATTGCACCCCCTAAAATTTATAAAATAGCTGTGGGTTTAGGTATCTTCCCTCTAATGACTTGTTGGGTAATAAGATCCTCTGCATGCTTGTGCTGTTTTATTTTTAAGGTTTAAAAAATAGTGTGCAACCTTTCTTTAGGACATTGTAATAATTTTCGTGACGTCTATTTTCCCTTCATACATACTTTTGTTTATTTTAAACTCTTAATTATCCTTCGATTATTGATTACAAATCCAAAATAAATAAGGGCATGTAAAGAAAAAACGTAGGTACGCGAAAATCATTCCTTAGCGCATCGAAGCGATTGTATAAGTTGTATCAGTTGTTGCCTCTTACACATAGGAAAAAGTAAATGACAAGAGATAACATGACAATCAACTGCTACCCATTTTTCACCAAGGAACAACTAGTCTAGCTCTAGTGACACCAAAGCAGTCATCGGAAAGTTTGAACTAAACAGGGAGGAGATTCCACGAGTACTAGAAAATCTTCGCTATTTAAACCCAATTTGGCTAACCCGTCAGCTGCAAAATTATGCTCTCTATGAACATGCTGCAAATTGCAGCAACTACTACCCATTTTTCAGTTAAGATTATAGATGATCAATTGCAAATGAACTGAGACATCTACTTGTATAACCGCAGGGTTGAAAAAATTTCTCAGCTCAGCAGAATATGCTTGTTGCAGGAAAAACAACAAACTGGAAACCAAAATTCAACTACGCAGAAATGTACAAACTACAAGAATGTCATACCTTCTACACTTCTAGGTTATGATCGCTAGCTCTATACTTTGCTCGTTATCCGCCTTCCTTGAAATAGGTTGGATTCGCTTTAATCTTTCGACGACTTGCTTCATTGTTGGCCTAGAGGCGAGGGTCTTGACTGTGCACGCGACAGCCAAATTCAACATCTCGACTAGATCATTCTGGGGTCCTGCATCCCATAGCCCTTCTATGAAGACCTCCTTATCCTGACCCTTTTCTAACAGCATGTCCACCCAAGAGACAATGTTGAAACCATCGCCATGTGATGAAAACGAAGGGTCCAAGGGTTTTTTGCACGACATCAATTCAAGCAGCACCACACCGTAACTGTAAACATCAGACTTTTCAGACACATGGCAAGTCATTGCATACTCTGGTGCTACGTACCCAAAAGTCCCTGCTGGACCAGTTGTTGCGTGTGTTTCTGAAGTTCCCAAAAGCCTAGATAATCCAAAGTCAGACAAGTAAGCATTGAACTCATCATCCAACAGTATGTTACTTGGCTTGACATCACGGTGTAGGACACGTGGAATACACTCGCTATGCAGATAAGCAAGTGCACGGGCTATATGCAAAGCAATCTTGTGGAGAATTTGCCAATTAAAAGGCCTCTGAGATCTCTCCTTGATAAAGTTTTCCAAATTCCCTCCTGGTAAATAATTATATATGAGCAACATCTCAGCTTCACTGGCATGGTAACCTATTAAAGTCACCAGGTTTGGGTGTCTCACCCTACCAAGGGTTTTAATCTCAGCATGAAACTGTTGAACACCGTGAAACCTTCCAACAGCTAGCCTTTTCACAGCAACAGTGATTCCTGGAGCAATTTCGGCTTTGTAAGTGGCCCCAAATCCTCCGCTGCCAATGTGGTAGCTGCCATTAAAATTCCCTGTTGCTTGAACAATATTCTCAAATGTCAACGGAGCCCCAATGTCTGTAAACAGAGTCATTTCTTTATATTCAAGACCCTGAACCCTGGAATCTGGTATCCACTTTCTCATATAAAAGAACAGGATAACAAGAGAGAGCAGAACCAAAACAACAGCTGATGCAGCTGCTATGGATGCGATCTCGATTGTGCCTAATCCACTATTATCATCACCACCAGTAGTTGCTGATAGAGAATCAGGGTTATGTTGTGAACTCCCATAACTATCTGGCTGATCTGAAGATGGAGCAGTTAGTGAAACAATATGGCATGGAATAAGGAAAGGGTTCCCAAGGACACCGCTGCAGTTCATCACGCTATTGTTCAATGGAAATGAACCAGACAGGTTATTGAAGGAGGCATTGAATGTAGATAGGGATTTCAGATTAGTCAAGCCTGAAGGGATGTGCCCAGAGAGTTTATTATTGTCGAGCAGAAAAACAGTTATATTTTTCAAGTTCACAAGACCTTGCGGAATATCCCCAGAAAGAGAATTTGAAGACAGCTTTAGAACTTCGAGGGAGTGCAACCACACAAAGCTATAAGGAATTGCACCAGTGAGATTGTTGTTGTCCAGGGACAGATACTTAAGATACTTCAAATGACTGATACCTGCAGGAATTTGACCCTGCAGCTGGTTCCAGCTCAAGTCAAGAAAGACAAGAGATTCCAAATGCCCAATATCTGAAGGTATTAACCCAGATAAAAGATTGCCAGAGGCATCCAGGAATCTAAGAGATCTGCACATCGCACCAATCTGAAAAGGAATTTGACCTGACAACTTATTGTCGCTAACATCAATAATCATTCCGTCTAATCCGTCACACTTTCCTAGTAAGGTTTCAGGAAATGATCCCGTGAGCTTGTTCCCAGCAGCAAGAAATGCATAAACAGTCTGCTTCCCCAGTCTCTCAGTTGCAAGAGGGAGGTGTTGGATTGGACCAGTGAAGTTGTTACCGCTAAAATCATGAACCACAGTGAAACTACCACCTGAAAGAGGGAAACGGCTATCAAGCTGAGTTTGACAAGTAAAGAGCACTTGATATGGAAATGATGGATTGTTGACTCGGACAAGATCTGAATTTGGGGGCACCTGGGGGCACAATCTGTACAGAAACTCGGGGACAGGTCCAGACATGAAGTTCCCACTGACATTGAAAACAGTCATACATGGAACTGGAAGCTTCTCATCGATCTTCCCACTCAGCTTATTTGATCCCAAATTTAGATAATGCAGCTTCTTGCATCTTTCAAATACTCCAGTGACTTCTCCGCTGAAAAGGTTCCGAGCTAAGTTCAACATTTCCAAGTTCTCACAACCACCCCAATTGCTTGGAAGCTTTCCTTCAAGGGTTGCCCTTGGAGCCCAAACTACTTTCAAATTTGGAAGGGTTGTAATTTCCTCTGGAATGGAGCCTTTGTAATAATTGTAATCATCCACCAAACCACCAGATAAATCAATTGATGTATCTCCATTTGTATTCTGATTGGTTGTCAATGGATTAAAAAGATTCGATAGGACAAGAACAGATAAATTGATACATTGTCCAAGCTCAGCGGGGACTGGGCCACTAAGGCTATTTCTTGAAACATCTAGAACTTCAAGCATTCGAATCCAACCAAGTTCTAGAGGAATGCCACCATTCAATATATTTGAAAACAACAAAAGAGTCCGTAACCACCGACAATTCCCCAAACTACCAGGAATCTTCCCAACAAGGAAATTTCCCGACAGATCAAGATATTCAAGATTTCGACAATAGCTTCCAAATGTGGCTGGTATAGACCCATTTAACCTATTTTGAGCCAAATAAAGCCCCCGCAACTTTGCAAACCTACCAACAAACCCAGGGATGGTTCCACTCACTTCATTACCTACCAAATTCAGCACCTCCAAACACACACATTTCGAAAGCGAAAAAGGAATCTCCCCACCAATTCTATTAAACCCAAGATTCAATACCCTCAACGTCCTCAAACCCGAAAACCGGGTTGGCAAATTTCCGTTTAACAAATTCCCCTCAAGATCAAGCACTTCAAGCTTCTCCAACCGCCAAATTTCCTTCGGAATTTCGCCACTAAGTTCATTGAAAGGCAGCGACAAAACTCTAAGCTCACTAAGCTTTCCCACCCAAGGCGAAACCTTTCCACCCAATTTTCCACTAACCAAACTTTTCCTCCAAACACCGAACCCATCGTACGGGAATTCAAATTTCAGACTCTGAGAGCAAGAGAGAGCTCGAAAATTACCTCCTTTGGCACCGCTGCCGCCGAGACTGAGCGAAACGACCCTCGATTTGGTGTCGCATGAGACCCCGACCCACGAACAGTGGTGATCGAAGCTGTTGGATCTCCAGCCGAAGAGAACCCCATCCGGGTCGGAAACCGAGCTCTTGATCTCGAGCAAAATCGACTTCTCAGAAAACAGCGCCTCCCCAGAAACGCTACTCCATAAGCAGAAGACGTTGAGAAAAAGCGCGGTTTTAAAATGCAGATGGCATTTCATCTTCTCGGGAACAAAGGGTAAGACCGCGGATGGCTTTTGGCTTTTGCCTTCTCCTTGTTTCTTCGTCTTCTGAAATCTGCTTCTTCTGCTTCTTGGAGAAAACGAAGACTCGGAGGGCTTTGGTGTTTCTGTGAATTATTTAAATTTATTGGGCTTCTTTTTCTTCTGGTTTTTCGGGTCGGAAAATTCAATGACCAATGGGGGAAGAGCGAAAGTGGGGCCCGAGAGGACTTTAAGGATGTGGGACCCCTGCATGTCTGTCCAGGTGGCGGTGTGTCTCTGCCACCCAGCCTACCGGAAGTGCTTTGAAATAGGCGCCCAATTTTGAATTTTCAATTAAACATTTATAATTGTTAAACTTTTTATCCTACATTCTTTATTTTCATTTTTAATTCTAAAAATTACAATTTTTTTCTTATATTTGATTTACCAATTAAACGATAAATTAATATCATCAAAATCTAAAGTTTACATAAAAGTATCATATCATGATTAGTTTCAAACGACACATTTTATCACCCAATTAAAAGATATTATTAAAATTCTAAAAAATACAACTAACATTCCATTAACCATAACGTGCCAATTATGGGACATGATTGGTTTATTATACAATCTTAATTTATGTACGTTAGGAATTACTAATTTTGATACGTTATGTAATTCTTGTTTTGCTACGTATCAAGTTAATGTGTTAGCGTTAACCTAGTTTTAGTATGTACAAGCAAATAGTAGGTTATAATCCTTAGAATAAGATAAATTTTCATATTGGAACTTTGTAGTAAAAAAAATTATTATATCAATTTTAACAATTAGTGATTGGGATAAGGACTCAATTAAAGTTTTAAATTTATTAACAAGTAATTATCTACCTCTTTTCTTTTTCTTTTTTTTTAATCAAGGAAAATAGAGAACCTATCTTAATGATAGACAAAAAATATCATTAGATAAATAATGTTATCATGCTGTACAATGAATTATAATTTATCTTTAATAATCACTTAAGCATTACATCCCAATAATTTAGAATTAAAAATAAAATAAAATAAAATAAAATAAAAAACCTCCCTCTCTATTTTGTATGTGAAATGCTCTGCCACTTCATAGCTCAAAGTCATTTTTCAAAGTGGGACTCTCGATGAATGTTATGCCGCCATACAGTTTAATGTTATTTCTCGTGTCAACTAAAACATTGTACCAAAAGCATGAGGCGGCAGAGAGTTTATAAAAAGTCGCATTTCTTATTTTGTATTTCTGGCTCTGGTAGCACACAGCCACTGCCTTGGGGTCTCAATGTCATCACCTGTGGTTGTTGGCACATGCCACTTCCCATCCTCTGCTTCCTGTTGAGTATTTATCAACAATGCATGATTTAACTAAACCAAAAGGTTATGACTTAAACTGAAAAACCGGATGAACGAAAAAAAATGAGATTATCGGCTGATTATCGCACCTGAATTACAATCGAGTAAGGTGGTGGCATGTGAAGCTTAAGTCCCTGCCTTGAGACGGACAATCGGACCTGCAACGTACGAACAAATGTAACTGCACAGTTCTTTTTCGAATTTCTTGTTACCGGCATTGCCATGCTAATGTAAGAAAGAAATCCGATAGCAGCTAAGATCCCATTTCAAATTTCTTCCCCTTGCCTTCTTCGAGAAATTTTGGGGTAGTTGTGAAAACAGATCCAAGCGAGAATCCTTCAAGTTCTATGCATATGGACAACAAACGTCTACATGCAAAAGATTCTTGCAAGTCACGAAAACAATAGTCAGCAGACGCGTGATACCCTAGAAGTTGGAACAAGTGGTCTCTCATCTCATCGTTTGTCACCATCAAACACTTGCAATTAACAGCAGCGTACAACCAGTACCTACAAATCGCATACGACTATATTTTAGGCACAGGTAAACTCTGGTAATAATTAGACACAAGTTTGATTTTTCGATGATTGAAGTCATGGAAACAAATTGCAGTATATATTGACTAACTATGCATGTTCAGTCCAACCCTTGGATCGGTCAAGAGACACAAACTTACCAATCATCATTTGAACCCACTGGAGTAGTGTAAAGTGCACCGGACTTTTTCCAGCTCTCTAACAATCTCTTGTTATTAGGATTCTGAGCAGGGCCACCAGTTACACGATTTTGGTGCAATATAACAAGTGGCAATCTCTTTGATGGGCTCATTTGGCATAAGCGGTTCACCAGAGCATCGAGCTACAACAAAGATGGTCATTAAGCAGCCCATTCATATATCTGATACGAAGAAGTCAAAAGACAGAGTGTCACGAAACTAAACATAGTCTGCCACTCACCTGGAAATAGCTGAAATTATGTTGATTGATAAGACCGACATTGGCACCATCTACAACTGCATCGAATGGACCATGCCTTTGAAGCCACTCCTGGATGAGTTTAACTTCTAATCAATCAGGACAGCTGACAAACATATTATGTATCATTTGCCTGAGTCATACAAAATAAAAGTATAGACGAATGACTAACTACCAGCATCACGATTACATAACAATAAAACACAAGAAACCCTTCCTTCTGTTAACTTCTTATCACACGAGGGCTTGGTGGTTCCAAGAATTTGAACTCAGAAGAATGGGAAGACACTGCCACTAGTACTCTTTTTGGAAACTGTGCTTCCCAATAGAGTTATGAACCTATTTTCCTAATAAAAACAGGTTAAATGGAGATATCATATTGCCTTACAATGTTCTTATGGCGGTCTTACTTCCTAAGTGGGATTCAAGCACTAATCATTAGAAAGTTGATTATTCGGTGAAGTACAGATATAGTGGCAACACAATCTATATAACTTAATGCATAAATCCGCCCTCCAAAATGAGATCTTCTTATCAATGTAATGATATAAATATAAAGATGCATATCAAGCAAGTTAAATTGTTTGAGGAAATCCGAAAAGTCAATGCAATCATTCGGTTTTCAAATTTTTGAGTTATGATATGCCGAACTTTAAATATCAGAAACTGAAGTTAACAAACAAGGGAATGCAGAGTCACTCACCTGGAATCGAATGAAATCACCCCGAACCTCCCTTTGGCCAGCCAATTTGCTCAAAGAGGTAGCAAAATTCTCAGTCTCTTTCGGGTCAATGTCGATAGAGACGAGCTTTTCACCGCAACAAGAGCATACCCCTGCTTCATCCATCTGAGTCCTCTCCACCCTCCAATTCCCACTCCCAAGCCACCCTTGCCCATGCCACCCTCCACCTCCTCTCACAACTTCTTCCCGCACCTTATTCACATCCCAACTCTCGCCGCCTCCTCGGACTTAAACCACTCCTCCACCACCCCATAAGTTGACTCCGAGACCTGCCTCACCGGGGTCCGCAACCGGTGCAACATCTCATAAATCTTGTCACCTCTGTTCGAACCAGAACTAACTTTTATCAAAGCAGAAATCTCAGGCTCCTCGGCCACGACCCCGGATTCAACCATGTGGGCATCGACCTCATAAGCTCTATCAGCCTCTCTCTTCTTAAAGAACTCAAACAATGCCGGATCGTAAGACCTCAATTTCGGCGGAATCCCCAAACCCTTCATCTGCTTCACCAAATGAAACGCCATTTCCGGGTCCTCCGCCGCGATCGCTAGCCTCGCCGCGCTAGTGAAAGTGGCCTCATTGGGGACAACCTTATCCTCAACCATCTGGCGAAAAATCTCAAACCCCCTCTTCAAACCCACATCACCGTCATCGCAGCCGCCGTTGGAGGAGCAAAGGTAGAGCTGAACATTGTAATGGTGCAGGCCAAGCGGCACCCTATTGCTCGTGGCCTCGTCGTAAAGGCTCAGAGCTTGGATCAGCTGGCCGTGCCTGGAACACATGTCTAGCTTGTACTTCAGGACCCCCTCGGGCGACTCCCGCCGCGCTTTCCTTTTGGCTTTGTTGGAAACCGCCGGATACGACGGCGACGGCGAGTCGTTGGAGAGAGCCAGAGTGCAAAGGTTGAGTCTTTTGTCCATGGAGAAGGTGCCAGCAGAAATTGGGGTCGGTTTAGATTTAGGGAAGCGGAGAATTGGGCGGAAGAAACAGCGGGACGTTCGGGAGATAAGGGGGAGTGGGATTTTGATGAAGAAGAAGAAGAGCGCCGCCGTGCAACATTTTTATTTATTTCTTTAATTTTAATTTTAATTTTTGGTTGAATTGTAAATTGTAATAAAAGGGAAAAATTGGGTTATGGAGAAAATAAGTCGGAGAATTTCGTGTGGTATTCATGTCAGCTCAGATATGAACTGAATTCTACAGAGGTTTTGGAAATCTCTGCACCTAAAACCCTAGCTGCCAATACTTGAGCGGGGAAACGACACGTCGTATATGTTTCTCTTTTGATTTTATCGTCGATTGACTTGTTTATTTCGCTAAATTTGTATAGAAATGTCAAATTTTTCTCTAAATTTTAATTTTAGCCAATACATCCCACCACTTCCCTTAATCATTCTCTATTTCCTTTTCTTTTTTTTTCCATATAATTTCTATATATCTCTGGCGAATCCAATAAAAAACAAAAACAAAATAAGCTTTGCTTGGTTTTTGGTAAAAGGAGGAAGAATCGTACAACCCAAGGAAGTTAACTTTTATCAATGCCTTCGGCTTTATGTGGATGTCCAGTTTCAATGAGATAACAAAGCAGCTAACTTATACACGTATAAATCCAGTTCTTTCTTTTTCTCAATGTGTTCAACTAAGCCTTCTCTACCTGTTAATTTGCTCTTCAAACAAGACGATCCACAGCCAAGAAATAGCTTCCGACCATGACGAATGATGCGATCCCGCTGCGAGCCATCCGTAACCCAAGGCCGCGGAACAGGAGATTCCTGTCTGAAGGGTGGATCCCTGTAACTCTCTCAAACCCATTCCCTGGTCTTCCCCATTTCAGAAGCTTCCTCTCCATTGAGACATACTGCCCACCACAAAACACAAATGACATTCGCAATCAAAACAAACCTTATAACAGATAACACGCATTGATCAACATGCTAGCAAGTGTTGTCTAAGTATTAAATCATGATACGTGCATAAAAAGGTGTATCGTGCTTAAACTAGACTAAACTTTGCCAAGAGTAAGTAACATACCTTGGGCAGCACAGTACATTCTGATCGAGATTTGGCAGTGTCAAAACAATGAGAAGCAGCCGCAGCAACAGAACCAGAAATTCCTGCCGCAATACTAATAGCCAAAGGAGAAAGTGGACCGATTTCATCATCCGACCTATGAGAAAACAAGTTCACTTCAACAACATGGAAAAAGGGAAACATAAAACAATGCATCTTTGTTCAACAGGTACTCCTTTTAGCAGTGCAAAAAAATGGTACTCGATGGTGTGATTCAACTAAGAAACAGGTTAGTCAATAGCAAGTTGCATTAATACCTGGGTTCAGGATCCATCCCCACTGCCTTCCAGTCAAGCATTGCTCGGTGTAGAGATTGCCAAGTAGAAAAGAATATGCCACCAAAAACTGAATCCCGAACAACTCCTGGCCGTAGACCTCTCCATAATGCACCCCATCCTTCCAAAGAGATGATTTCAGATGGTTTCCTGACACTGAACACTGAGGGTGGTTTCCCAGATCCTGTCATCATCCATGGGTACTCTTGTAAAGCACTCGTCATATTAGGATGCTTGGTTGTTAGGGTGGATAAAAGGGCAACAGAAGAATTTAATGCCTTCATGTCCGGACTACACCCACGTAGCAATCTTTGAATCAAAGGTGCAACAGCTTCCTTTCCTGGGAGAGAGGCCGAGTTTGGAATGAGAGAGGCCGAGTTTGGAATGCGAGAAGCAGAGGTCACCTGGGCACGAAGTTTTATAAGTTCAAATGGGGAGCTTATTAGTGATTCTACAACACCAGAAACAAGTCCCGCCAGGAGGGCCTCAGAGACGTAGACATAGTTATCTTCTCGACCATCTGCCAAAAAAGTATTTGCAACCAGAAAAGGTGTCGGAAGCTGTAAATCAATGTATAATAACGATGAATTTTGGTACCATGTGTATGCACGTGTTTATTATCAGTTACCCAACAATGAAGAGAAAATACCTTTATAGAAGGCAGTCAAAATTTCATAGGTTCCAAAACGAGCTCCCAACCCCAAAGTTCTTCCCGCTGCTAACCATAGAAAACCGTTGTACAAACCTACAACATGCATCACAGGCCAAACTTAACAATCATCAGCAAGCACAACACTGGGGAGGAAAGGAACCCTGTAAGCGCAAACAGAAAGCAGTGGAGAAAACAACAGGACTTGAAAAAACTAATGAAAATCGGGGAAGCACCTGAATTTCCTGAAAAATATCCAACTCTCTTTAAAACCTGAGTAGTTGTCAATTGCTTACTAGAACCTGAACCAACCTGTTCCCCCAATAAAAACAAATGAGGATTCAGGTTAGAAACGGATTATGACATGGCTCTTCACAAAGCAAAAAACTTGTAAAGCATCAGAAATCTAGGCAATGATGCCGGGGAGCAAACCTGAATAAGGGTTTTGATTGTATCAAGAGGGTAAGTAAGGGCTGTGCCTAATGCCACTGAACCTACACCAGAAAGTGCATGGATTGCAAATATCTGGTTCTTTAACAACTCCTCCATCTAAACATTCAGCAAACCAAACACCATAAAAATAAAAATAAAAGTAAAATTTACAATCAGAAATTGAGAAATAGATTTATACCCCATTCAATTTTTACAAAACAAAGATTTCTTCGCAACGCTGTTCCGCACATGTACTTGACAATTTTCAGATACAAATTCATGGGATTATGATGTTATCAACCAATTTGTGAACGTAAAGGCACAAAATTTTCAAACGAGATTCTACTTAATCAAATACATAAGCAAACAATAAGAGCCGATAGAAGATACATAAACATTGGTCCCTTTCAGGCATTTCAACAAACACCTTGTTTGCAAAATATATACTAAATAAAGGGACGACCCCAAGCCAAGAAGGCTCTCACTCGGGGGAACATCGATGCAGCCTTACCTTTGCTTTGCAAAGAGGCTATTTCCACGACTCGAGCCTGTCACAAAGGAGCAACCTTTCCGCTGTGCCAAGCTCGCCCTCTCTGCAATATATATTTACTAAAAAGATGAAGACCCGATAAACAGAAAGGAAAATGACGTAAGCATACAAAAGAAATGCTTAAAACGAGCGTTTAGCAATTAGCATTTGATGTTTGAAATCTCATCGGAGAATACTTTACCGGCACCTGCGCTGTTCAAGTCACCTTCTTTTTCGTTCGTCTTCTTCAAATTGTCCGATGAATTCCAGCTCTCAACAATTTTATACGAAGACGGAAATGCACGATTGTCGAAAGAAATTCAACTGCGATCGCAAAACGTTTTATTGTATTTTTATTTCTGAGACTCAAAAAGTAGGATCAAAACTCTGTAGCTAGGGAGCAGTGAGCAGCTCATCAGCAATGGAGAAGCTGAGGAGGGAATGGATGATTGGTTTTTGGGCCTGTGACCTTTCCAGCCCAATTCATATTTTTTTAATACAAAAATATTATAAACTACTCTAATCTTATTTATGAGATAAGAAATTGAACTTAGGTGCGAGTACCAAGATCATCTTCAATCGAATGATCCAGATGGCCAAAGGATCGAAAATAACCCGAAAATCGTCTCTAACAGAGAGCTAGGCCAGAGGAATCGTGGGCCCCACGGAATCTGAAAGGGTCAAAGGGCTGGCCACATGCAGCCATCCAGTCAATCCCGGGCTAGTTGGAATTTTTTTTTAATACTGTCGGTTTTGCTATCGGTTATAACCGACATGAATAAAAGAAATAGTGTCGATTATAACCAACACAAATAACATGGAAATTTTTTAATATAACGGATGGCTAACATCAGCTAACCGTTATTTTTTATTTTTTATATTTTACAGTTTTATTTATTTATTTTTTCTATTATTTTCTATTATTTTCTATAACTTCCTATAACTTCTATTTTACAAAATTTGTTTCATATTTTTTTTTAAATTCTATTTTTTTACAAAATTTGTTACATTTTTTTTTTCCTATAACTTCTATTTCATGCTGACTTCACTTAGCCGTTAGATTTGAATTTAAGTTGTAGGTTTTAAATAATAAATTATGTTTGACCCTATGTGTGACATCCCGTCTCGGAAATATCGAAAACGTACATGTGAAAAGACTATTTTGCCCCTAGTTCGTTTCTTTTACGCTTATTGGTTATTTTTGTGTTGTTGGCACGTGTTGGGCCACACACACACCTTCCCACCACTCCACACCTTCTGTCCCTTTCCCTGTCTCTCTCTCCCGAGCCCCATTTCCCTTCTCTTTCACTATTCACGTACGGACACACCCACAAACACCCTAAACACTAGCAGATCGAGGGAATCAAGGTCACAGTCGAGATCGTGAAGCTCGTGGGAGTCCAATCGTACCATTTTCAGGTGAGAACTTCGTCGTTTTCACGTCGATTCGACGATGTCCGTTTTGAGTACTATTCATGCAAAAATAATTTAGCAAGTTTTTGGGATTTTGAAGCTCGTAGGTGACTTAGTGAGGTCCCAAGGAGTCTCGAAGTACTTCGTTTGAAGAATTTTGACGTCGGAATCACTGTGTTTGGAGTTGACCGGAGTTGGGTGGTTTGGACAGGTAAGATCTCGTAGTTTTTTACTCTTGAAAGTTGTATATTTATGTTCTCCTAGTTCTAGGCGTCATTTTGGTACAAAAATCGTGAAAAATGGTTGAAAAACGAGAGAGAAATCGAAGGTTGAAGTTTTTCCAGTTTTCCGGCGCCGGCGACGGCGCCGGAGTCTCGCTGGAGAAGGAGATGGAATATTCCTGACGCCGTTAACGGAATCTGTCAAAACTGACGGAATATTCCTAACGGCGTCAGTTGACGCCGTCAGCGTGCCAGGCACGTGCCTACGCGTGCGACGGTGAAAAATTTTTCTAAAAATTTGGGTATGATCCTGAGGTTGTGTAGAGCACGTTGGTATATTCATTTGTCCAATTTGAGCAATGTATGATAAGTTATTATGAGAAGTTGGTTATGTGCTTTAAAATTGACCTTTTTATAGTTATTTCGCATATAGGTGATACGTATCCCGAGGACGAGCGTAGTCACTCGAGGCAGGGGGGCTACGACCCTTCCACATACCAGTGAGTGGGCTTTTGGTTTTCCGTATATACCTATATACTATATTTTTCCCAGAAATTGATTTAAATGCTTATTAGTTATGTCATGCATTACATTATCGTTATTTATGCATCGTTGGTTACGTTAGTAGTTGCATATATATATTCTTATGCATATTGGGTGTTGTGGACGCACAGGTAAGTGCCAGGTAAGTGTTATTCATGTTTACATTCAGTAGCGATTCGAGATACTTAGAGAGCTCATAACCTGCACCCCCGGTGTTAGTGCTCCCGCCCAGAGTAAGGCACAGTCCTTCACGTGATGTTCACCTCCCGCACCACACGCTCAGCTTGGATCCAAGTTAGGTGCACAGTCCTGTCGTACATACCACTTTAGGTGGTTCCGACTCGTAGGTGACCCGCGATTATTCGCCCAGCCTTCACGTGATCGTAGCACTAGAGCGTATATATGTATTACACCCAGGCCTGTCGTACAGACCACCTTAGTGGTTCCGACTCGTGGGCAGGTTCAGTTATTGAGTTTGAGATTTGAGCTCTAGATGCAGCCGTCAAGTCACGTTAGGTGACTCCGGCTGCCAGATTACATGTTATTGATATGATTATACCTGAGCACTTGCATATCATTATGAGGTTTCGACATGGCATATTATTGAGCATGTTTGGCATATATACTATACGTATATTTATTTTCTGGGAAGTATACAGGTTTTACGGCGAGGGGTTAGAATGTATTTGATTAAATGGTTTTCTAAAAGCTTTGTTTTTTTTTGCCCACTCACGCTTTTGTTTTGCGCCCCTCCAGGTTCTAGTGGTCTAGCAGGTTCGGTGGTTTCCCAGAGGGCTTTTCCGGCATTTTTGACAGACACTCACCATTGTAGGGTCACCTTCGGGTGTACTGTTGTCGCATCTTTTTCTTTTGGACTGCTGTAGACTAATTGCTCCGAATTCAGCGTCTCACTTACGCTAGCACTGGTTTTTATCACTTTGTATGCTAGTTTTTAATTATTCGTACTTTTTGTTACTACTTTATTAGCTTCCGCACGTGCATATGGTTACGTCACCTCCGTGTGACGGCCAGCACACCCTGGTCTAGGTCGGGGTGTGTCACTATGACTATTTGGCCCTCGATTGGAGACCGTTTTTTGTGACAAGGCTAAACAAGCCTTATGGCCCTTTGGCCCTCAGTTGGAGATGGAAGCAAATATGGCTCTATATTGTTCATTAAAATATTAATATCTTGGAGGGCTAGAGGGTTAAAACAAGCCCTTTAGCTAGCCCTCGGTTGGAGATTGCCTAAGAGGGCGGGCGTACTGCCCTGACTGCTTTTACTTTGGATATAAGTGAATATTTGATGATAATTAATTTTTACAGAGTAATTTATAATATCAGCCGCTCTTATTATAAGTATAAAATTTTGTAAATCATGTTATGCCAGCTAGGCATATTTCGGCATCTTCTGACATGTTGCGTCAAGAGCACTCAACAAATTCTCTCGATATCACTTATCAGATTGTTTTGGTATGTGTCGATATTTGTTTAATTGTGTGCATCTTCAGTTGACGACAAGCCCACTAAGTGTTCAACGAAATGCCTCAACAAAAAAACTAAAATTTATTTTGCCCGCTTCGCACACTTTTTCTATTAAAAAATATAAACCTTTAACACTAGGATCCCCCAACATTGAATCCGCTATTGAAAGTGAGTAGCCGAGTATTGTTATTTCCACCGTCTTATTGCGAGTGTGAACTGAGAGAATGATGTTAGAGTTTTTTTCTATCAAAGTTTATACAAAACATGCCTTTTGAACGAGTGTCGTTGCAAATTTCGGGTAGTATTAGGTATGGTAATTTTTTGCACGAGTTGTAGACTCGACACAGACATAACAAGTTTCAAGTTAATCCGTCGATGAGTCAGTTCGTTACCGGAGTACCTATTAAGAACCCAATATTAACTAATCGGATCGTTATCAGATCACCTATTAAGAACTTAATCAGATATCGTTTGCCAGTAAATACATTAGACATGACAAATTTCTTGCATGACTAACCTAACACAAAACGACGCAACCCATTAATGAATCGGGATGTTACGGGTCACTTGTTAAGAACTTGTTAGGAAAACGGTTTGACACAACACAATCCTTTAAGATAACAAACATAACACAAAAATAATACGAACACAACAGACACGACCCGTTTGCCAAATTTAGGTAGTATTCAGAAAAGGGAGCGCACAATTTTCCCTGTTGTATGCTAATGCATGCATTATAAAATGCATTTAACGTACTGTATACTACAGTTACACGGTACACCGGTGAGAAATCTGAACCTGAAACTAGTAACATTAGAAGTTCTTGCAACTAGGTTATCTGACGTAGAAAACACCGCTAACTATCGATCAGCGACTGAATTCGCTAACAATCTCGTGTAAACTATACATTCTTTTCTCAGTACATGTATATGAAGGGAAGGTTAGGAATTCATTATATGAACAAGGAGGAGGCTTACATAATCCATGGCGCTTACATTTCTCAACAACAGCAACAACAAGAAAAACATCGACGCCGACGCCGGCGACAAGAACAACCCCACTTGCACCAAGAAAAGCAACAAAGCCAATAGGAGGCTTTTGATTTGGTCACTTTTTTGGGCGGTAAGAGGATTGGTGGTGGCGGCGGCGGCAGCTCCGGCTCCGGCTCCAGACATGGCTCTTCGGCAAATTGTGTAACCTTCACGGAACTTTTCATCCTATCTGTCATTCCATCTGACAATCTGCATAACATAATGTACATAACATTCACAGACCATAGATTTCAGGAGAAACGGAAAGATGACAGTGCATTCATGATGCTGAGTAAAGGAAAATATTTTGTTGAAGAAAAGTTATGTTTTCACTTAAAGCCCGACGAATGGCCACCATAGCTAAAGAGACATGCATACATGGTTGAAGAAACACAACACACTCTCTTTTGGAAACAGTTCCAAGAATAGCAGAACGCCCAGCTGCAGTTCGAACAATAGCAGCTTGGCCATGTAACATAGCAGAACGCCCGGCTACAGTTAGAACAGCAGCGCAATGGCCACGCACGCTTCTTTGTTCTGCAATAAACAAAGGGTGCATTCTTCATGGACTAAGTTCGGGGTTTTGAATCTTAGCCAATAAATTCTGTAGGCATGCATATGCCTGAATTTTGTGTGTGCACGGTCATGTATAATACTAGAAATTGTTGCGCGAACGCCAAATCTGTAGTATCTATATGAAACTGCATGTATATATGCTCATCCTAAAATAACAATGCATTACATCCATGTGAAAAGTAGGGTACAAACATGCATAATTCACCTTAGAAAATGTATATAGACGTACATTGGGAAGGCAAAAGAGCGTGTGCTAGTTCCACTCGCATCAGAACGGCGAGAGAGGGTAGGGGATTTTACGGGTCCAGTTGGTGCAGGCACCCTTCCCTCGCTATGATCTTCAGCATTTGCTCTTGCAGTGTTCTTAATGGTCTCATCTGCCACTCCAACTCCAGATTCCCTCACTTCTTCAATCCTCACTTCTTCAATCTTCATTTCTTCAATCCTCACTTCTTCAATCCTATCGCTTTCAATTTCTACCACTGGAAAATGAGGGGCCAGATTGAGTGCAAAAAACTCGCCTGATTTGTTCAGTTCCCCAGACTTACCCAAATCACCGAGCAAAAGTATGTGGTCTCTTGAAAAGCTATTGTTTCCTAAATGAATGCTAAAAAGCGACTCATTTGATGCAACACTCCATTCCAATTCTTTGTTGGATTTACTTCTTGAAAACACAGAAGACGGGATCCTGTAAGGATCATATCCTCCTCCAAACCGATCCATCGTTTGGATTGAAGGGGATTCTGTTGGTGACAAGCCGGGCACCATGGACCCATGGGTGACATCAGAAGCTCGGGACGTTGATGCAGGACCTACAGAGCTAGAGTCATGATGTTGAGGGAGAGAAGAAGTATGTGTTGAAGTGGTAGTTCTGTTTGTATCCACTTGGAAGAGATCTTCCAATGACGAGTCTGATGCCAAAGAAGACAAAGAGGATACGGAGACTAGCTTTCTGGTCGGGACACGACCACCTTCATTAGTATTGGCCTCTGGAAGTATTGTTAAATGGCTACTGTCATCACTCCCGTCACGAACCTTCGGTCTTTCCGAACGCTTACTGCCTCCACTTCCATCAACAACTCTTTCCGAACGCTTACTGTTTCTGCTGCTTCCGGGTTCTAAGTCCATAGCTGAAACATGCACGAAACAAATTTCGTAACAGAAATACTTGATAAAGTTTGCCATCAAATGCCAATATTATTTCAATAAAACCTAGCTATGATTTGCATTTTAGGAAATGCTTCGTGAAACAGACCTATCCAAATAATAGGTCATTATCAATTTTATAACTTTTACGACGTGACTTCTTTCATTCCGAGTAAGTAAACGTGTATACGTAATGTAACCAAAAGCTTAAGACCATAAAATATATACATTTTATGAGTTCATCATCTCAACAATTACCAGTTTACCTGCATTGCGTATCATCTGCAGACATTTTCATCATTTCATGGCAACAAAAAATAAATAAAAAAATGAGAAAAAATTATCCTTCCCCAAAAAAATTATTATAAAATTTAATTTTCAAATAAAAGATATGAATTCGATAGCCAAATTCAAATTGATTAAAAATGAAGAAAATAATTAAGCTCACCTGAATCATAAGAAATAAGTCCTTAAATTTCTGAATTTCCAAATGATCCTACCAGGGATCAGCATTCCTGTGTCTCCTCCTCACCTCGATAATTATATATATTTTTGGTAGATTAAACCTCCCCTCGCCTGAATTGAATGACTAAATTCCCAAGAAATATAAATTAAAAATTTTAGAAAAAAAAAAAAAAACAAATTGAATATGTGAGAGAGGAGAAGCACTTTGATTGCTAAACCCTAATTTTGAAAAAAAATAAAAATTAAACAAAATTAGGGCTGAAAGTTGTCGCCCTTGAATATCTGAATATGTGGTTTTGGAATTAGGGTTTGTGAGTGGGAAAATCTGGTGATGGAAGGCGTAGCGAAACTTTCGGCGTTTCTTTGGGCTCTACTTCTATCCGTATCTGTAAGCCTTTCGCGCCATCTTTAACTTTCCCTTACCTTCTTTGGGCGTTGAAGGCCTATCTTATGCTAGGCTTTAATTCCGGTTGCCATGCTCATCCCATATGGAGAGGCCACGTAAAACAAGGACGTTGTGACAATTTGTTTAGATTAGGATCAACATGATTCAATCTGATTTATTTCGTACATATCGCTCAATGATAAAATGGGTCCAATTCTACAAAATCAAACCTATAAGACTTAACATGACATATAGTTTGATAATAAAAGGGTTGAGTTAGCGGCAACATATCGATTTTAACACGACAAATTTGTTTTAAGTAAATTTAGTCAAGTGTTGGAAGTGGTTGGTGTGCATCATGTGTGCATTTGAAATTAGAGTGTTATGTGCGAGTTGAGAGAAAGTTTTAATATTTAGTTTATTGGTTTGTTACTTTGTTTATAAATATACTCAGTTCATTTGTTATAATATTATGATCTAATGATATTCTTTTTTATTTGCAAGTGAAATATTTTAAGTTCGATTCTTATCAAAAATGAATTTGAACTATATTATTATTAGCTCATTATGAGATTTAGCCTACTCCTCCACAATACCATTTGGTCTGTGTGTGTGTGTGTGTATATGTACATATATATATATATATATATATATATATATAATATAATTTGTTTTTTCCTTTTTAAGGAAGTTTCAAGATTTCCTTAAGATTTAGTAGAAGAACTTTGAGTTTGAAACAAGAAGATGAAGCTTTATGCAAAGCTTGGGTTTTTTACTATTCGAGAAGGTGTTACTGGCAACGACCAATCGGCGAAAACGTTTTAGAGTTGTGCGTGCAGGTAATAATAGTATTTTCTTGTTAAAAAGTTGTCATTTAATGAAATATAATTATATATTTTTTTTACATATTTTGTCGGTAAGGTTTTTACATCGGCACTTGAAACTTTTCATTCTTAAATTACTGTAACAATTTCAAATCATTTTCTCTCTCTCTCTTTTTTTTTTTTTTTTTTTTTATCAAGGGAAAGAATTTTATTAGATTCGAATTGAAATGTTTACATCAAAAGCTAAAGTGTTAAACAATCACTATGGCTCGAATTAGTCTCATCCATAAGAGTCTGCCTCTCATAAGGCGGAAGCGTCCACTAGATGTATTTCCGTATTACAAATACGAGGAGCAAAAATGATACCCATTGACCCTAGCCGTGGCTTCACATATTGAATATTAAGAAGGAGTTTTTTCAATTATAACATTTAATTGAGCCTTGCCAGTAATCATATCCACAAGTGCCTTAGAATCTTATTCAATCTGAACATAATCAACTCCCATATCAATACAAGCCAACAAAGCCGTACGCACCAATTCCACCACTATATTAGGCTAGATTCGCGTGGAAAATTCCCCACTCCACCCGGCCCTGTGAAAAATACATGCGAAATTCCGTACCACCCATCCATACCCCTCCTCATCTGGATTCCATTTTTTCCCCTTAATAATAGTATTTTCTTTTTGTTTAAAAAGTTGTCTTTTAATGAAATAAAATTATATACTTATTATATATTTTGTCGGTAATTTTTTACGTCGGCTAAAAGTTATTGTTCACTTTCATTTTTCAAACTGCTGTTAAAATGAATTTGGTAAGAGTTACCTAAATATATTAAGATAGTTTTTCCTACTTATTAGGGTGGATAATATCATTTATTAAATATATATATATATATTAAGATCATTTGAAAAATGAAATTGTTATTGACATTTCAAAAATCTCATTAGTAAAATTAACAACAACCATTCAAATTCTCCAATTATTACTATTTAGCACACGTGTACACTTTTGATCTGATTAGCAAATTGATAGCAACCATTAAAATTCTCCAATTATTACTATTTAGATTTAAAAAAAAAAAAAAAATTAAAAGTAAACGGGGGCGGGTACGGAAGTTGGATGCTATCTCGGCTTTCCCGGAGTACTGTCATCGGCCTCCTCTGTTCACTGAGACCAGGAAGCACATCCTTCGCTTCTCTCAATCTTGAGCTACTGAACACTTCCAATCCCAGGTCGGAATCCCGAGCTCTTTCCTCTAGGTAATTTCCGTTAATTCTTCGATTTTCCCATCTGGGTTTTCTCAGATTCTCTGTCATATTTCCTTCTGTGCATTACTCTGATTGCTTAGTAAACTGTATAGTTTGAGCTAATGATGGATTGGATTGAATTGGTTTGTTTTGGATTGGATTGGTCTGGTTGGATTGGATTTAGCTGTTTCTTGAGACTATTTGAGCTTTATTGTTTTTTGTTTTTTGTTTTTGTAGAAACTGAATCAACTCAAGAAGATTTTAAAGTTCCGTTCTTTTCTTCTTTGTATTGAGTAGATTTCATCCACTGATACTTTCCACACTCAAAGTTGCTTGCTTTTATTTGTATTTTTGATGAAATTATACAGTTGAATTTACAATTTTCAGATTCGACTTTAGACATGTGCCAAGAACATGAATGTGCATAGATATGGTGGTTGCGCTTTCATACATAGAAATCCGCTTATAACTAGGTTGCTCAGACATGAATGTGGTTGCTTTGGCTTGCATTTTAGTACCGATTGATATGCACCAACGTGGAAGTTGCCTTCTTCCAGATTTTGGATTAGAACCCAAAGCAGGGTGAATAAAATCTGATGGAAAGATTGCGATCTCGAACCCCTTTACTTCCTTCTGATCTTCCAGAATCCACCTCCTCTAACAATACTGAAAGCGCTCAGTTAAATGCACATGGAGTTCGTGGGCTGTCTGGTATTCAGGGACTGAAGAAGAGAGGTCACGGAAGTCGTTCTTGGATAAAGATTGATCCGCTTGGGAATATAAGTATTTTGGAGCTTGACAAGGCTACTATAATGAGACATTGTTCGTTGCCTGGAAGAGATCTCCGACTTTTGGATCCTTTGTTCATATACCCTTCTACAATATTAGGAAGGGAGAGAGCTATTGTTGTTAGTCTTGAACAGATCAGGTGTATAATCACCGCTGACGAGGTTATCCTGATGAATTCCCTGGATGGATGTGTTGTTCAGTACAAGTCTGAATTGTGCAAACGCCTAGAGTCAAACAAAGATCAATCTGGTATGGAATTAGAAACTAATCTACCTGATATCTGATATCTTTTACTGCCTTGGGGTTTATTCGTACTTTTCCAATGTATGTGAGTGATAACCTTTTTATACCATTTCTAAAAACATCTTATCTGATAGCGAAATAGGTTTCCACAAAAAGTAAGCGACCACTTATTTCTCCACCCAAATTTAAGCCTTTATTTTCCTTTGTATTTTTTTTATTGCCAAAGTAAAAATTCAATGTCGAATGCATTTCTGACAAGTCTAATTTGATTCAGATGACTTGCCTTTCGAGTTTAGAGCATTGGAGCTGGCTCTGGAACTAACCTGCATGTCTCTAGATGCTCAGGTATCAATCTATTTGCAGCACAACCTATCAACTAATTTTGGTACATGCTTCATTTATCCCCAGGCAGTTCTTTGTTCACTACGTTCTGGCGGTATAGCTCTCCCTAAATTTGGTAGAGTCCCTAGTCGTGTATTTGTTGTCATTCAGAACTCTATATGTAATTTTATTGTGAACTTGTATATTAGATGAAGTAAAAATTGACAAAAACTAGGAAAAAGAAGCAGGAATCGTCATCAGCACAAGCCCATTACATTAATGAAGTTCATCAATGTGATAGGTAAAGGAACTGCAAATGGACATATACCCTGTGCTGGATGAACTAGCATCATCAATAAACACTGTCAATCTGGAGCGTGTGCGTAGACTCAAAGGTCACCTTCTTGCATTGACTCAACGAGTTCAAAAGGTAAGGTGATTCTATTGGCACCCAAAAATTTGCTCTCTGAACCTCAAGTGGAGTAGTAGCATCTTCATTTTTCTCTCATTCATTTCTACTTTAGAGAGCAAATTTTTCATAATATACATGTTCTCTGCTCTTCATCTCCTCAATTCAATTGCTTTTAATTCATTCTAGGTCCGTGACGAAATAGAACATCTCATGGATGATGACGGTGACATGGCTGAGATGTACCTTACTGAGAAGAAACAAAGGTCAGAGGGTTATCCCTTAAGTGACCTTTGTTTTCAAACTAACACATCAGGCGAGGAAACAATTGTTTCAAAATCTGCTCCTGTTTCTCCAGTGGGGTCACTCAGTGGAGCACATCAATTGCAAAGGGCTTTTACCAGTTTTGTGAGTTCAAGCAGGAATGGAAGCTTATTGAGTTCATCTAATTTCGGAGAAAACATTGATAAACTGGAAATGCTGCTTGAAGCATACTTTGTTGGCATCGACCATACTCTCAACAAGTTGTTATCGGTAGGAGATGTTTTATGCTCAGTGAATATATATATTTATTGATGATGCAGCTTTGAAAGAATGCATTGATGATACGAAGATTTGATTAAATATTAAACTGGCAATAAGTGATTGACACAAGCTTATATCTTGTTTTGGTGATGCAGCTGAAAGAATACATAGATGATACCGAAGACTTGATTAACTTTAAACTGGTAAGGAGTGATTAACTGCTTCCACTTTCTTAATTACTACAATACATGCACAGGTGAATTCTAATATTGCGCTTTATATGGGACAGGGCAATGTTCAGAACCATCTGATACAGTTTGAGTTGCTCCTTACAGCGGCTACCTTCTTGGCTACTGTTTTTGCCGCTGTTACAGCAGTATTTGGAATGAATTTACCCTCCGCTGTTTTCGATAGTCCATCTACATTCAATTGGGTTTTGGTTTTCAGTGGTGTTGCCTGTGGGTTCCTGTACTTCTCTTTTCTGATTTATTTTAGGTATAAAAGGATCTTTCCCTTGTAAAGTATGAAATTGACGATTCACATTCTAATGGTGAAACTGAATGTTGTTTATCAGGGAGAAGAAAAATCCAATTGATTTTACTTGTATTGATTGTAATGAACCTGTTATATCACGCTAAAATAGTGTCATCAACGAACAATTAAGCGCACCTTCTTTTGAGTTCAGAGTTTGAAATTGCTGGGAACGAAAGTACTTTCGATATCTATGAATCAATCAGTGATGTTTTTCAGTTCCAAATCCGTTAAGCGCACCTTCTTTTCACTGGCTTCAAGTGATGCCTTGCGCTCCACGATTCGTGCTTCGAGCCTCGACTCAGTCACTTCATACAGACGCAAACTCAGCTCCTGAGGCGACACGCCTTTGTTAATTTCCTCCTGAGCATTCATTTCCAAAAGCTCTAGTTCGGCTAGGAGCTCTGCCTCAATTTTTCTCATTGCTTCAGCATCATCCTCCGTTTGATCATTGAGCCTTTTTGCAACACATTTGTTCGATTTCTCCAGTTCTTGTACATTGAAGGAGGTGATGATCTGCTTCTCAGTTCCCTGGAATCTGAAACCCTCCTCCTCCTCGGGTAGGTTTTGTGCCAACTTCTGAGTCTGCTTCAACAACTCATTCAACTTGTCAACTTCTCTTTTACGTGCACTAATACCATATATTACTCCAATACTGATTCCAACAAAGAAGAGAAGCATTCCATTTCTTGAACCTGGAAAAGTAAAAAAATTTAAGCCAAATATGTGTGCAGAATAAACAAAAAACTTCATGTGAATAGAACGGAATTGTTATTACTACTCCAAAATAGTACATGATGACTTTTTTAAGTCTCGATAACAGATTCCTAATAAGAATAGCGTAAAACCTTGTGAACCAAACGGGCTGCCAGCCACTGGTTTAGTTGAGCTGCTGCATCTCCTTTTCCTCCTCCTCCCCAGCCGCCACCGCGCCTTTTCCTCACTCTCTAACCACACGTCGTTGACTTGGCTCCCACTGTTAACCAAAAATGGCCTCATTGCCAAAATACAAGGTGATGCACATGATGAGCTGTACACATCCTCTTCCACTCTAGCATTTTCCCAATACAACACCATCTGAACCAATAGGCAGCTTTCTGTGGAATTAAGTTCTTTTTAGAGAAAGCCCTTTTGATTTAACTCCAAGAAATCTGCCTTTCTTTAGTCTTTGATAAATAGAAAACCCAGCTTTTTCTGCCACAACATAATCAGAAACCAACTCACCAGAAGACTCAGTCACCTCCTCACCATCATGAACTGACTGATCTGCTACACCTTCCGGCTTCCGTTGCTCTGGAAAGCCATTTGTGCCAATAGCACTACGCCACGTAACCAGCCCCAGTGACTGTTGCTGCTGCTACAATCCATAAATCCATATAAAAGCCTATATTTCTGGCCAATTCTGATCTTCAAAACCCAAAAGCGAAAAGGGTTTTTGGTGAATTTTCTGTCTTGATCGAAAAGAAGAATAAAAGGGAGGAGATCCAATTTTACTCTTCCTCCAACAATGGTTGATAATGTTGTCTAAGGAAACACAATGAGAGCGAATCCACAACGGTTATATTAACAGTTGGTCATGTAAGGTGTCGTTCTTCTTTGCACACGTATGAGAATTTAAAGCGGTTTTAGCGAGATTTTTTCATACGTGTTAGACTATAATTGATAATTAAGGAGGAATAATTCCTTAACACCTGAGGAGCCGAGTAGTGTTTCTAATCTGGGAGTCAAATTGGGAAGTTGGTCATCCTGCTGGATTGTACAGTGTTCTTACCTGTTTTCTAATCTCAAATTTTTTATCCTTAAGTATTGGTATTGCATTTTGTAGTTTAGGTATTAAATATTGAAGGAAATCTAGAAAATATGAAAAAATAAGGTAATATATAGCAGGTGCACTGAGCTACCACATAAACGTACATAGCACGTTCTAATTGGATAGGAAATTAAAATAGGTTAATTAGCATGATTAATCACTAATATTCCCGATTAATTAGCATAATCTCTCACTGTTTTAAAAATGGTAATGAACCGTTTAGAGTATCACTATTATGTTGCAGCTGTGGTAATGAACTATAAAAATAGATATTCTAAACAGCTGTGGGAATCAAATCTAACGACTAAAACACTTATAGTCACATCCAATATAAAATACAATTAAAATTCAATTCACATGTGAGCCCTTAATAACATCACAGTTTAGTGAAGAAAAAAACACTTCAAACTTAATACAAATATGTACCACAACCTACTCCGTGTTTTTCATTTTCTTTGTGAATTATTACAAAACTTCAGTTATTTCCGGCAGCCGTGACATTTGAAGAACGGAGTGCACTTATACTATTGAACCTGGTCGGAGCTTGCCTTAACCAGTATCTGCCACCAATGAAGCCACTCGTCATAAGCGGCGCAGCCTCTTGGAACGTAAGTTCCCGGGCCCACTTAACTCTCTGCGACGTATCGGCTCCCGGTCCCCAACATCTGTACTGTCCGAAGTAGACAGTACTCAGTTCTTCGGGCGACCGACCCCAGTCATCCCAACCTTGCGGCGCCACGACATTCGACATGTGCGTAAGGGAAAAGATAACCCTGGAATAGGGGCTCCATGGCCGTCCTAGGGTTGTCTTTGATAAGCCGCTTATCTTGCAACCCACGAAACTGAAGCCCAAGTTCTCTGAAGCGTTGTCCCTCCGGTGGGCGGTTATGAATCCGACCTCATCCGCAGTCGAGTGCAAGTGGCAGTTCTGGAAAAGGGCGGCTGAGCTTCCGAATATGAAGTCGACGGCTCCTTCGATGTAGCAGTTGCTGTAGTACTGCTTGCCGTTTTCGGAAAGTAGGGTGTCTTGATACGACTTGATACTGCAATCGTAGAATGCTGCCCTATCTCCGGAAGCCCTAAGTGCCACTGCTCGAGCTCCTTTTCCGTACGTGTTCTGAATTGTGAGGGTTCGTCCGGTAAAATCAGAAGCCAGGACGGTGAAGGTTGGAGTGTCGTATATCTCCCCACCCTGACTCCATGTTATTATCGTCTCGCCCGGCCCCGCGCCGGCTATCGTAATAAATGGCTTATCTGCAGGCACCCAAATTTTTTCAGTATAAGTTCCAGGTTTAACTGCAATGTACACATTCTCCACATTATTCGACGGCACGGCATCAATGGCGTCTTGTATTTTCCAGTAATCTCCTTTGCCGGACTGGTCCACGGTTATGAGAATGGCTTCGTCAGACGCATAATTATTTGTGGTTGCAACTTGAGAGGTAACGGCGGTGAAAGTATAGAGTAAAAGAGCAATGAGAAAGAACTTCGTAGAAGTAACACCGTTGGCCATCGTGGTAAGAGAGAAGCACTTTGTGTCTGAATTAGGAGCTTTGTGTTGGATTGATCGACAACGATGAATAGTGATGTGAATGTTGACAACAGCTGATGTCGTTATTATATAGTGTTCGCATGCATGCAGGTGGAAGTAGGAAATTAGGTTTTACTTGAGGAATTAGGACAACCAATTTCAGGTATTATCTAACTTTTTCTTGATGAATTTGGATTCCAAATTCAGATGGGAATATTAAAGATCCCAAATTAGGGAGGAGTATTTTAAGATTCCATGTTCTTGTAGGAATATTGCAAAGATAAAAGAGGAATGGTTTGTGTAGGCGGGTGGGGTGAAATTTTTCCGATTAACCTGAGGACGTAAGACGTACTTAGAAGCTTATGGTAAGCGATAATGAACCTTTCACTCACTTGTCTTCCAATTAGCTTTGTTAATGCCCTGCATTTCAAGCAAAGCTACCAGATTTGATAGGTGTGCTTTCTACCTACTACTCTCCAAACGTGATTGGGGACATAAAAAACATTTAAAACACAACCGATTTATTTCTACTCCTTTTATTTTATGCAATTGTCTCTCCGCCTTCTTTCTCTCCCAGCTAAGGGGGAGCGGCGGTCGGACTCAGATGGTGACGGGCCCGGGGATGGTCGGATGGATGACGTGATCATATAGTCGGATCCAGGACAAACTTTTTTCAAAGGAAGAGTAAAAGAACCGCTGAAAGCGTAATGGATTTTAAGTTTGCATTTTTTGGTCAAATTCCTTCGTAGGAACTAGGAAGGACGTGAGATTACATCAATTCAATATCTAGACGATGAACAAATAAATTGCATATGTAAATAAATATTACAGGTGCCATCCATATCCCTACTGCCTTCTCCAAAAGTAACTACAGCAGGTCTTGAAGCTCCATCTGCTGATTATATATAAGTAGCAACGCCCACGAGAGCAAAAGTCCTGCAACCAAAAATTGAGGTAAAGTTCTCGCATGTAACGGTTGTATACAAATCTGTCGTCGTCGCCTCTTTCATGACCGTGAGTTGTGTCGAGTTATTGTGAGAGGAACGTTGTATAATTACGCAAATAACGAGAGAAGCTGACAGTAATGATAAATGCTTTGCCAAAAGAGAGACTTTTTGTGAGGAAAGGTGACAAACATCAAACAAAGAAAGTCAAAAAAGGTACCTCCAATAATGGTGTTAACTTGAAAATCCAGTTCCACTGCCCCACTCCAAGCATACCCTAATCATATCAGAAGTTCAAGAGCATTAATCAGTGATAATTAATTAGTTTAATTGAACTAAATCTCCTAATAATTGCAATAATTAATTACTGACCTCGCCCAAAACAATTTGTGGTGGTGTTAACACCACTCCTGCAAATACAAGCAAATGACTGATCCAAACCAGCAAATCCACAAATCCCTCCACTTGTTTCACAATCCTTGCATTTATTTGTGTGGTAAGAATCATTATATTGCAAAGAAATCCCAAATTTCCATTTCATCGGATCGCCTTCGTCTCCAAACTCGTAAACTGATGTATAAGAAGAGCACTGGAGCTTTGGAAGATCCAATGCATAACCTGAGCCAACCACGATTTCAGAATCATAAACACAACAGGTGGAAATCGGCGCATTCTGTGGCAGTCCAATGCCGGCCACCCCCTTGCAAGAGTACAAACCTCTACACACCCGGGTGCCGGATCCAGTGTCACACAAGTCTTCGTTTGGATCAAACACCGGGGATGTCGTTGAGCAGCCGAGCAAAACGAAGATGTTTTGCTCTCCTATAGTGAAAGGACTGGACTTGTCCAAGCTAAAACTACCTGAATTTTGCATGGAAGAACATGTTGACATGAGTGGATCTGTGACAATGATGGTGCTGCTATTGTAGTCTATGGAGGAAATGGTGTAGATGCCCGTTCCGGTGGAGAATTGCAGTGTTCCTGAGCTGCATTTGATGTATCTGACAAATTCAGGGTGGCCGCAACCAAATCCGGTACCAAATGGGAACTTTACTGGGATTGCACCGCATGCGTCCTCACACATACCAGTGAGAGGGATGGCATGGCCTGCGTGGATGACGGATGAGAGGGTGTCGAGAGGAAGCAAGAAGAAAATGGTGATGAGAAGTAGGGTTTCTGAGGCCGACGGCGGCATAGGAGAAGAAGGGTTTTGGAGGAGTTGGAGATCTTCAAATGAAGAAACGAGAGCACACTAATGCAAGAAGAGTTTCAACTTTCACATGATAAAAGTTTTATTTGTCAATAAGCACAGAAGAAAGTGTTCTTTTCGGTGCCCTTCCTAATTTTTCTTCCTAAAAAGCAGAGCCTCTGTTTTCTTGTGGGTTCTAGCTATAAAGCAATATGCATTTTCAAAAAAAAAAAAAAAAAAAAAAAAAAAGTTTAAAATTTTGAATTTTAAAACGACAAATGAATAGTATCAAAGGTGATTTTTTTTTAAAGAAAGATGTATTTTTTGTTAAAAATGAACAACGAGAATGTTTAGTTAAAACTCCCATTTTCAAAAGGACGTAGACAAGGAGGGAAATCAACTCCAGACGGTGCTCGAGTGTGTGAACAAGTTTCTGTTTCGGCTTACCAATCTAACGCGGTATGTCAGCCCCACCAAGGACGATGCTGATTGCTTTCACAGCCTTTGACACTGCTACCAGCACATGCAAATGCAGTATGAAAATGAACAGAGGACTGAAGGTGATCCCACAGCAATAAATCAAAGCAAGTGTGCATCTGAACTGCTCGTCGATTGCTTAAAATCATATTAATATTCCGCCATTATTTTGGTAAAGAATTACACAGAAACTAAGATGATTTGGAAAAAAAAAAGTAGAGAAATTTATGTACTTGGATACCAATGTGGGCCTTGTGAGTTTCTTCAGCCAAATTCAAACATTCGCCATCTCCATCACTTAACATAGACATTAATCAAACTGCTCCGAAACACCTTTTTATCCGAAAAACCAAACCCACCCATCAACCCCTCTAACTCAGTTTTCTCCTCAAGACCCTTCAATGCATACAAATGAGCAAGAAAGCCAAAACTCGACTCATCAGGCCCAACCCCCAAAACCGCAATCGTTTCAACAGCTTTTTTGGCATCACTCGACGATTCAAGCTCACGACAACACCCCTCCAACGCCGCATTACAAGCAGCCAAACGCGGTTTCATAAGCTCCAACTTCTCATCCAAAGCAATCCTACAATTCTCTTCAAAAACCCGTAAGAACGCGACAAAGTTACCATTTTCCCTACTGATCTCAACAAGTACATTGCCCAACACACTGAACGGCAAGAAAAACCGGTTCTTGAACATGCATTTAACCAAAGCAAAAGCAGGGGCAGCAGTATTGGCACATTTCATAGCATCCAGCACAAACCCAACAATTTTAAAATCCAAAAATCCTGGGTTTTTTCCACAACATAAACAGTGGTGGCAAAAGCCCTCTTGAGATTGTGAATGTCCCCGAGTGAGGACAAATGGGTAATCGCAGAATTGGTGAGCGACTTACTGGGGAAGGCGGAGGTGCCGGTGACGGTCTTGAAGGACTTCCAGGCCGCATCAGTGTTGTGGGTTATGAGGGACTTGTGGAGGGCCGTCTCGAGGGCGGCGATGTGGTCGGGGGTCAGGGTTTCGGGCGGCGGGGTTGGGAGGTCGCTGTGGGATTGGAGGGAGGAGGGAGGTGGGGCCCTCTTGAGGGCAAAGATTGAAGGTTGGAGGAAGGAGTAGAGGGTTGGGATTTCAGGTGTTGAGGAGAAGGCTCTTCTTCCTCTTCTGTGTGTTAGGAGGAGAAGGAGAGTGAGAGCTTCTAGTTTTCTCCAGATTCTCTCATCCAAACTCCAACCTCCAAATTCCAAATTCCAAAGATTCAAACTTTCTCTTCTTCCTCGTGCTGTGGTTTAGTAGAGAGCTCATAATCTCCAGGAACTTGAATTTGGTTTTCAGCTCCTTTACAAGGTATACATTAATGCTGTTTAGTCAAAATGTAAATATTTGTATGTAGAACACACTCTCAAATGCTGGAATAGCTCAGCTGGTTAGAGCGTGTGGCTGTTAACCACAAGGTCGGAGGTTCGAACCCTCCTTCTAGCGCTGTTTTTATTTCCCCTTTTAAGTTAAATTCTACTCACGGCCTGCCTAGGATTAAAAGCGTTGTCCCCTTTTAAGTTAGCCGTCCAACCCTCCAGTGTCAACTTGACATTTTGCCAGCTCAGCCCATTTTCCTGGCGTCAACATGATGCTAACTAGCTAATGTCATATTGTTACCGTTGGAATTTGATTTATTTTTTTGTGGACGAATTAAAAAAAAAAAAAAGAATTTTTTCCGATAAATAGCTAAGTCATTCCTACACCATTTCTCACATACTTTTCACCATTCCATACTATCTTACCTCATTTTATTTCAATTCTTCACATTCTATTTTTTCAATAATTTTCAAATGACCACATCTACAATGAAAGGAATGGCTTGGACTCGAAAAGAAGATGAAGCTCTTTGCAGGGCTTATAGATGGGTCTTGGAAGATAGTGTGAAGGTGTTTAGACTCGTATGTCCAAAAAGTCCTATGAGTTCTATGAAAGCACCACTCCACTGAATCCGGGGAACCACAAAAGTTGTTCTTCAAGATGGAAAACAACACAATCTCCACCCTAGTACTACTTAGGGGAGTTATTCAAACTTAAACAATATCAAACAAAACATTTAACAACATAAAACTTAAACGTCTACTCCATTGTTCTTTTGGCCCAAAGATGTGGAATAGATCCTGTTGTAGGTACTTGTTTGTGGCACGCGAACATATCGTCCTATGACGCCTTATGTACTCATTTAAAGAGATATCACCAGTTATTGGATCTAAAGGCAAATTAGGTCCATCATATATTTTCACATCAGTTTGGGAGGCATAGGCCAGCATTCAAAGTGCAATAGTAACCTTTTGATGAGGTGAGAAATCATGGCGGCATGCTTTATCCATCTTTTGTCAAAAGTATGGATTGACATGTTGGACATCATGAAGTAAATGCTCGAATACACGATGCCTCATCCAGAAGCGACATTTAAAATCCTCTTTTGTGTACACCAAGTTGGAGTTGAAGTAGTTGTTCATCAGAGTCTCATGCACGATCTCTCTATTTTGTGGTTTGTATGAGTGACCACCAATAGAGGCACCCCATTGAGGTTGTTCTTCAATTTCCTCACATGCCATGACCCCAGCCATTGTGTCACATCCCGGCCCGGGGCGGATCACTTCCCGGGCCCGCTCCACCACCGTAGCACGATATTGTCCGCTTTGGGCTTACCATTCCCTCACGGTTTTGTTTTTGGGAACTCACGAGCAACTTCCCAGTGGGTCACCCATCATGGGATTGCTCTAGCCCCTTTCTCGCTTAACTTCGAAGTTCCCACGGAACCCGAAGCCAGTGAGCTCCCAAAAGGCCTTGTGCTAGGTAAGGATGGGAATATACATTTAAGGATCACTCCCCTGGGCGATGTGGGATGTCATAATCCACCCCGCTTAGGGGCCCGACGTCCTCGTCGGCACATTTCCGGCCAGGGATTGGCTCTGATACCAATCTGTCACATCCCGGCCCGGGGCGGATCACTTCCCGAGCCCGCTCCACCACCGTAGCACGATATTGTCCGCTTTGGACTTACCATTCCCTCACGGTTTTGTTTTTGGGAACTCACGAGCAACTTCCCAGTGGGTCACCCATCATGGGATTGCTCTAGCCCCTTTCTCGCTTAACTTCGAAGTTCCCACGGAACCCGAAGCCAGTGAGCTCCCAAAAGGCCTCGTGCTAGGTAAGGATGGGAATATACATTTAAGGATCACTCCCCTGGGCGATGTGAGATGTCACACATTGCTTCCATATACGTTGAGTTGCGCTATGCTTCATCTTCTTCATCGGACTCCTCATCTTCTCGTCTCATCTGCGCCCATTTATTTTCCTATCAAAAAAATTATTAAGATTACATAAAGAAAAGAAATCTAGAGAGTTACTCGCTTTAGCGACACGTGTCACTCAAAATCATATTCGAAAATTTATTAAGATTACACAAATATAAGAAATATGGAGAGTTACTCACATTAGTGACACGTGTTACTCGAAAATTCTATTAAAAAAATTATTGAGATTATATAAAGGTAAGAAATCCAAAGGCTTATTCATTTGGCGACAAGTGGCACTCAAAATATGTTCAAAAACTTTATTTTAATATGGTATTTTAAGTTAATTAATCATATTAATTCAATTAAAATAATAAATTATGTTTAATCTATGACCTTTTGACTCTCTCATTTGGAGATGACTTTTTGTCAAAATGCTATATTTAGCCTATGGCCCTTTGGTGCCCTTAGTTGGAGATGATATAAAATAGAGAAATTATATTTACACATCCCAACTTACTTTTTTCACACTTTTTTTATTTTTTTTTAATATTTTCTACGCACCACTAGCACTTGATAAATAAATATTAAAAAATTAAAAAGAGTGTGTGAGAAGTAATTTGGGATGTGTGAATATAATCTCCCTATAAAATATGAGATGTCATTGTTCATTAATATATAATTTCTTGCAAGGTTATAAGGTTAAAGGGAGCCATTTAACCCTCATTTGGTTGGAAATGGCCTTAGTATTCTACTCACAACCTACTTAGGATTAAAAACATTGTCTAATAACTAAAAACATTTTAATGGTGTTTCATATAAAAATTTGGCTTGTAGAAGCATTTTCTAGAGAAGTACGTGCCATATGCTTCTTCGTGAATCACTTGGATTTTCAATAAAAATTCAAGGTGTTTTAGAGTAGAAAGACTTCGAGCATGGAAAATGTATAATGTACAATTATTCCTATCCAAATGTATCTTCTTGAATACAATTATTCCTATCCAAATGTATCTTCTTGAATAGAAATAACATTAATTTTTTAATACAAGTGCTTCATTTTTGAATTATGAAGACTAAATATTTGTTACTTTTTAAAGATTTAGTTACACATTTATGAGCTGGTTTTAAACTGCTTTTAAAATGATTAAAAATATTTTTTAATACAAATTAATTAAAAAAAAGAAAGAAAAAAAACTTAAAATACTTCTTATAAAGATACACATAACTGATTCGGCAACGAATGTTTAATCTAAAAAAAAAAAATTTAAAGTTGACGCATCCAGTTCTAATTACTTTATTTCAAATCAGACTTCCCGCAGCTGCGAATATAGTGGATAAAGCATCGTTTTCGATAATTACATAAAAGCAAGAACATTTTACAAGTAGCCAGTACGTGGCATGCTACATCT